TATGTGTACTAATACATCATTGATACACGCTCAATGTAACACTATTCCAATGGCTGCACAACGTACCCAACAAACACAGTATACATGCATTCAATGGCTACATACAGTGATCACCAGTTCCCCTTGTGCGTGTGATTAAATTAATGGACAAAAATACTAATTGCGGAATATTATTGAAAGGCAGCCTGTCCTTGGCTAGCGAGACTCAGATCCGAGTCAATTTCATTAGGACCGAACTCGTGGTCCGGCAACAAGCACGGAGCACTGAAAATCCTGGCCAGGGAACACGGTTAATGCCATAATGAGGATTACGTGAAGGACTCGGGGCCCGGGTAGACAACTTGTCTCACCAGATATGGAGGATGATCCAATTGCCTGGTCTACATGATGTTAATAAAAGCCTAGCCTACGGTATTGTATGTACTACTCGCGGGCATAGTAAACTGTGACGAAAACACTGCCACAATGCTCACTTTCGAAATTTAAAAATTTTCATCAGAGGCACATGTACATGTACATGTAACATACTTATCTTTTATTCCTTCTTATTATTGGTGGCAATGTATGTACATGTACTTCAAAGTTTTTGAAATCCTTTTTCCTTTTTGGAATCCTGAGATAGTAGTTTTTGCACTAAAAACCTCAAAGGAAAATCTGGATTTTTAAATTTTTTACCGATATGAAACTAATTTCAACTGGTATTTCCAAAAAAAAAAAAAAAAAAAAAAAAATGGGGCCGCATGTTTTCTCTGTAAAAGCACCTTTTTTCTAATTTCATTTTATATCAACAGTTCAAGCGGGCAGCAAGGTCAAGACAAGGACCATCTGAGGCAATGGTATCCTAGACCTCAGACAACATACATCTGAGGCAATGGTGTCCTAGACCTCAGACTATCATTATGATCCTAGACCTTGGTGAAACTCGAGCCAGTCTTGGCCATGAAATTTTAATGACAATTTCACGCTGTCATAATTCTTCCAGAATCAGTTGTACTCACTGCCTTTGACATTCTCAGTGTGAGAAAATAAACTCAACGTTTTTTTTCTTCAATAAATACAGTTAAGGCCATATGACTGAGTGAATCATTCACTGTGTACAATGTTTCTATGTATTTGTAAAATTGTATGCATACAAATTAAATATTACCTTAGTTATAGCCCATGGGTGGCTGAAAATGGTATTGAATTTACTGATGTCAATGATGTACAGTCTAAACACAGTACATTTACTTGCATTGGTATTTGGTACTACATTTAAATTTATACTGTACACGTTACAAAGTTGATCTGAACTGCTTGCTAGTAAATGGTTAACAGAAATACATACTGTCTTACAATATATTCCTGCATGGGTTGGGGGGGGGGGGCATCATAAAGTTCAAATAGTACAAGCTAAAAAAGGAACAGGAAGAAAATGAAAGTTAATTAATTTCATTTTTTGGGGGGGGGGGGGGGGGACTGAGCATTGTTTACAGCAAGGAGAGCTGTTTATTTGTACTGGCGGAGCCTAGGGCACCGCTGGACAGAAACATTGCACTCTACTGGAAAATAGTGGGCAGGAAAAACATCGTTAATCAAGGAAGTTTACTTGGGCTGTCAGTAAGTCGCATAAACACTGATGCTGTATATCATATCAGCAGAATCAAAAGATTTAATAGGCTGCATATTTACATGGTGAAGTTGAGGAAATTTAGAATGAGCAGGCAGACAATAATGAGTTTCCATTACACACGGGATATTTTGCCTGGCTGGTTCAGCCATTAAGCTGAAATTCTTTGGAAAGGCTGGGCTAGTAGCTAAAGCACATACATAAAGTGCAAAGTTTTGAAGTTTACTGACGACTGTATGGATGCATTACATTAATTTAGTGTACTTCTTTAAAGAAATGGCTGCCATACTGGACTTCTTTTCATCATTACTTAAATTTCACTTGGGGGGGGGGGAATCTGTGAGTTATCTTTGGGAAAACGAAGGATGTTAATATCACCATGAAATTCGATTATAATTTTTTTTATGTTACTGAAATATCTGAATTTACTTTGAAAATTGGCAAGTTTCTACACTCCTTCTCGTCATTCCTTCCCCCTTTTTTTTGGGGGGGGGGGGGGAATAGATGTAAGATACATGTATCTTAGGAAAAACAAGGGATGTTATCACAGTTAAATTCCCTTCCAGAGGCAAGGGAGACCTAGACAAAACAAAAACATTGTGGAGAGTCCAAACATAGCTCCATGGTCCAAGCATGGAGCTATGGTCAAGTGATGACTTCAATGCATGCACATCTCTGCTGGATACTACAATTGGACTATACGGTAGATGCTTTAATAAGCAACAGGCTTCCAGTCCTTAGTAGAACCAGTGTGCACATTTTCCTGAAAATCAAACTCGACTCTCACTTTCAACAATCAAATCCAACAACCAATGGGAGCTTGAGATGTTGGTAGCAAATAAAACTCATCTATGGGTGCTCAATTTGATCAAAGGGTGATATCATGTACACATTTCATAAAGACAGTCAATTAACTACTGAGATTTAGAGAAAATTTATACTGAGTGAATTATTGGGAAAAATACTCCATTTGAAAATTCTGAGTTGCTACATTTAAAACACAGTTATCTATCTCTAGTTTTACAGCACTACAATGCACATTTTCATAACATATGCTGTTGACGAAAACCCCAAGAGTAAATATTTGTGTGTGTGCAGAACAGAATCCTTGATGACAAACTACACTAACCTAAACATTTCCCCATTTCTTCCACAGCCACTCCAAGGCAAACATGTCCTGCCCCACAACAAAATTCTGAATAAATAATGCCAGGGGGGTCTGATCCCCTTCTAATGTTTATTGCTCTGCTGGTAGGCTGGTCATGTTCATTGTGATGCAAAACGGTCAGCAAGCACAGAGACTAGCAGAGGGCTTATACTGCAAACAGATGATTTGCATAGGAGTAAACACTGCCCAAGATTGTGCCTATGATCAGCAGGATCATTATCTCAGCGTGTTGTACATTACACCATGCATGTATACATGCATACACATGTACAATGTGAACTGGGGGTAATTGGTATGTTGGGTGTTATTATAATCATGCACAAAACCTACCCTCACAAATTTACAACCTATACATGTACATGATGTGTATGTAAATGCATCTGTAGTTGCCCAGGTACCGGTACTACTGGATGACTAACTGTACACACTAAAACGTCTCCATATTCAGGCTCAATGTTAGACAAAATGCATGTTAGAATCACGATGGCTTACCGGTACATGTTGAGAAAATACAGTACATGTGTACCAATACCATGCACGATTATTTTACTGAAGGAAAATTGTCGAGAGCAATTTATTTCCTATTTTCCATGTATTTTAAGACAAATACATCGTACACAGAGCTAAGTAAACGCGAATCGTTGTTTTCCTGCATGCCTCAACTACAATACACAATGCATCAATTACAAGTTAACAAAGAATTCAGCCTGGTTTGGGGTTTCAGTGGGACCCAGGTAACTGTAGATTTCAGGGTGAAACCTGCACTCTACCAATGGTGGTCTTACTAGTCCGATTTAGGGATTGAGCAAATTGTTCTTTTGTACATTCTGAGTACAAGGTAGATGAATGCAGGACAAGCCTGTTGATCACTCCCCATTGTAGTGCAACATGTAATCTGCATGTTGGTAACCGGTCAACTTTCCTCTGCATTCTTGTTCAATTGTAAGTCAACTTCTAGCCTCTTTTATTGTACTGAATCCTCCTTAACATAACGGCCTGGATAAACCCCATTCAGGAATATTGAATTTATCGACTGGCAACAACTTGTAGCATTACGGGCGGTCGGGCAAGGCAACTTAGCAGTAGATTTGCGTTACTGGTTAATAGTCTATTGTGGGGAAAATGTCTGCAGTGAATGCTGCGTGTTCAGTCATCAATAATTTCCGTACTTGCTCAATGTCCCGTTATTGATTTATAATGTGAAGCGCTACAACGGCTTGATGACTGCAATGTAAAAATACCCGAGTACGTACATGGAGTGTATGGCATTATCTGCGGCTTAAATTTGAAGTTTGTTGATCTTGCAGTCAATGTGAAGTAAAGCAGAGACAATCCTTGACAGAAATTGCCTTTAGAATCTACTTGGATTGATTATTGGCTGTAACTTCTGTGAAATCCTAAAGAATAGATGTAGAAATGCCGGCTTCTATATTTGGTAATTTTATGTGGTTATCTAGTCCTTAACTCATTTCTTGTTGAGTGTTAATTATTAATTGCATCTGAAAAGTACTCAAAAGAAGTTTTGAAGTTTTTTATATTCGTGGTATAAATATGGTAAATTATGTCCAAAAAATATAGTAATGCACTCCCGACCATATTTTTTTTCATTAAAAAACCTCAATGATCACAAATGATGGTCAGCCATTGGAAATAAGTTAATAAACAATAAATAAGTTAACAATAACAAAAGGTGCTGCAGATTGCTTGTAACAATCTATTCTTAATTGAAATCTTTAAATTTATGAGTGCCTCATTACAAGCCACGTTCACGGGTATATGTTTCAATACACAATCTTTATTTGTGACACGTCCAAGACATAGGCCTAACCAATACATTTTTACAAAGCTGTATCTGAGTTTTGACATTCATTTAAATTAAAAACAATTAAATTTAAACGCTGTCATGGTAGTAACATTACATATCAATATTCACTTCAATTACATTTTTAGGCCTAATTTTATTTTTATGCTAATTTTTGGCAATTACTCCTAATTTTTTCTCAATTCGGTTCCATGTCAACTGTTACAAGGCCTAGTTAGTGTTAATTTGTTGCTGGTGAAATTTAGCTTTTTATTTTACTGACATGGCTGACTGCAGAATGTGATTGTTTACACTAACTAAATAGGCCATAATTATGATGGTTGAACAGGTACTGCATGCCAAAATGAGTAAATACACTACAATTCAGCCATGGCAGCTGGCTAGTGACTTGATCAACTTACCATTCCCGGTATTTGTGCGTTTAACCGCACCACTTTCCACTTCCCCTTCCAGTGGTCTTTTCCTAGAATCCATCGAGTCTCCGTTCAGTCCCATGTCGATGATGGGCTGGCCTACCACGCTGTGCATGGGGTGCATGGGCCCTAAACTCCCCGTGGTATGGGGTCCCACAAACTCGGCTGTCGCCATTATCTAGTACTAATCAACGCCGTGTTGTCCGCCGTGCGTTGTGCGAAGTTTCCCCTGCCAACAACCCGTTGCGCTTGCCGCGAGTGCAACGTCCGTTCACCTACACCTTCGTGAAATCGTCACTTCGGACCTGCTTAACTCGCTGAATTTCAATTTCTCTCCCCTGTCGCTATTCCCTTGGAAAGCCACGGCACAGGGTCCTGACATTCGGATGGGTCTCCTAGGATGTCCAACTTGGCACTCCGGAGGCAGTCAGGGGAAGTAAAGGTGTGAAATCTGGCTCTTTTCTGTTGGCTTTTTTTTTGCAGTCGACTCGCATCCCGCACACGTTCACAAAACTAATGCGCCGTAAATATACACACGTACAAAACCTGTACAACAAGTTGCCGCCGCACGTATGCAGTATGCATTATGCACACGCAGTTTATCATTGACGAATGAGGGCGGATATCTCAAAGTTCAACACATCACGTGCGAATTTCACAGGTTTGTTTACACTTGCTCTCTGTATGCTGCCGAGTGTGGCGCACCATTATTATAATTTAGCCTTGGGGGATTTGGGAGGACATGATGGGTCATCGCTTCAATTATCTTAAGACATAAACGTTGATTGAGAAATATTAACATTTATTTATTACTATTTTTAAACCAAAAGCTCTTTTGCTAGTTTTCATTTCGTTTTTCAGGAATTTGGTGAATTTCCCCATCGAAAATGCATCAATGCCCACACCATGTCCCAGCTGCTGCACGAGCATATGCTCAACTACTAAACAAATTAAAATAATTGAGTAGAAATAAAAGCAGTGACACGAGTTGTATAATTACATATTTTTGGTGAATTAAAAAAAATGCTTGTATCTCCTTTCATTTAAACATCTATACTGCTCAGAATGTTTTCAACTGTTTTTTCTTTTTAAGCTGGTTGTATTATATACAAAAAATGAATGTTTGTTAGTGCAATGGTAAGCATAATTTTATCAGGGCAATATTCTGACGGTGGAACAGAACTTCAATTTTTTTCTTCTGTGCAGCCGGGCCTAGGGTCAGGCCAAATAATTCAATAACGTGATCAACAATTCATCAATCAGATGACGGGGATTTATTCAGGCGTTGTATAGTACCAATTATATTCAATACACTCTTTTCAAAAGCTTTGGAACTTGGAATATTACGGAGCACTATCTTTAGCCATGGGGTAAGGGGCTTGGGAAATAACCATGCGTAAAGCTTGCCGAGACTTTACCCATCTCAAACAACTGAGGTCACAAACCCAATGAAGAAAACACACTTCTTTTTTTAATTTTTAATGGCATCTTTAATTGAAACACGTTACAAAACTGTGAAGTGAGAATAGAAAGAAATCACAGAAAGCTGGCCATATCCATAATTGCAAGAAATTAGTTATTCAGCTCTGCCTCAAGAGTTTCTGCCAAATATGAATGGGTCCATCAGATGGACAAGTTGCTAAGAATAATTAACACATGGCTTGTTTTTAGGTTTTTAAAAAACAACCACCACAAACTCTTCCATGCTGGTGGTGCTTTTAACATTCTTGCATTCAGATGCAAAGTTCCATGTAACAAGTCCAATATTTGGATTTATAATTTCATACTCCATATTTTTTCCCCAAAAATTCTTCCAACCAGTGTTAGGATTGTCATTAAAATCGCAGAACCAATACCTGAAAGATCAATTCAGCTTCCAGTGTATTGTGACTACTAAATTCTAACTTCCTCCGTGCAATTTACATTTGAGAATGTTTAAAAAACAAAAATTAACTAAAGTTTTGCAAAATTCTTCTCAAAATAAAAAAACAAGCTAAATTGGCAAAGCTGCAAGGGAGCTGTGCTTAATACGGGAATAAGCACAAAAGTCAAAAAGTAAAACAGAATGTAGGTTGTGGAGACTTAAACTGAATTTGATCTTTTGTTAACATGATAGCGGTAACTTGCAATGGCAACAAAATATTAAGTGAAAATAATCTAACAACCTTCTAATTCCTGGACTGTTAACTGGGCAAGAAGCTTCAGACTTTGGTACATCAGCTCAGGGTTCGAACCACTGACTCTGCGAATCAAAGTCCAGTCTATCTTAAGTCTATACCATATTCCCCTTAAAAAAAATCAAGGAAAACTATCTACCAATCCAGGATTGGTTGAAAAAAAAAGAGAGCAAAACTACATTTAAACAAATACAATGAAACTATCGCCATGTTTAATGGAAGCAAAAGCTGAATCACAAATTGCAAAATGTTGATGAGAAAAAAGCTTGGACTACATTGGAGCGAAATGAAAAACAAAAACAAAGCGTTACATACTCATTTTACTGCTAAATATTCACATGCAAATAAAAACCGATAATCGGAAAGGCGACACCGCCAAGTTGTTTTAACAAAGTGGTGGCATCCAATTCCGTTTACTCAAGGATTTCAATTCAAAGAAAAAGAAAATGTACTTTGTATCACTACATGTACTATTTTTTTTACTTTAATGTGACCTATAACCTATGGAATATCAGCACAATTCACTATCAATATGTACTAAACTTTCTTTTTCAAGTTTTTGAATATTTAGAAATGTTTAATTCTTAGAGTTTTAATGCCTTAACTGACAAACAGGTAAGTGCTAGCAGAGAGCGATTATCTCTCGCCTAAAATACACTGGTCTACGCAGGTACTTGAAGATACCAAACTTGACATTTACAAGCGCAAATGCAGAATCACCAAAATAATAACAAACAACTGCATTACAGTGGTAGCCTAAAATGCAGTGGAATGACCATTGATAAATCGAATAATCAGACTATGGAAATAAGAAACCTGTTTTAATCATCTCCAGGATTGGTACATGCCCAGAACACTTTATGTAATTTTGCGCGAGTTATGTGATATATATGTGAAGGAAATTTGAGGTTACACCAGCCAACACACAATTATGTAGTGTCTACAGGTAGCGCAGCTTTTTACTGTTATACATTAGACAGTGCAATTATACACCTGCACTAGTCTTAGTCAACACCTTGAACGTGATTTTTTTTAACAAGCTGTATAGTTCATTAACATGCAAAAAGACTCAGTACAGTTGAATTGATATGCAATGCAGTACAATGTACACATCATAGAATGTCAACATGAATTTTTCCTCGAGATCTTGCAACTTTTTTTTTTTGCCCTTGGCCAAATATTAACAAAGATCATCACACAGGCGGTTCTGCAGTTTGGGCTACCACTTGGCACAACATGAACTCATTATATACTTACAGATATATAGAAGAGCATCTACAAATTTTACAATTCCTATTTCTTTTACTTTTTTTTTCTTTTCGGTTTAAGATGCTTCTAATTTCCGACAAATTCTTACAACTCGCTCCATTCCACACACTTTTTCTCCCACTCTCAGCAAAAGCATTCTATATTTTATTGATTCTTATTATAAGCCGACATTTTGTTAGAGTGTGTAGGCTCGTCACAACATACATTTGAGCGGCTTGTATCTTTTTAATACTCCAAGAAGGAAAAGCTACACTGACTACACTTAAAAACCCACAGTGCAAGTACTGCCAAGAATACAAACAACACACAATACAACGGCATGTCCATGATTTAACTCACAGTAGTACACTCTTTATGCTACGATTACTATGATTTGTGTAATAATGATCTTTTTTTTTCCACAACTAGCATGAATACAAGATGTCACTAATATGAATATTCATAAGATAATCAATGAATTTGAATACAAAAAAAAATCAAACGACCAAGGCTGGGGCCTAGTTTTACAGAACACTACAAAGACTGCACATCTGTGAAACTGTCTATCTCATGCAAACTACGACTTTCTTAACAACCCTTAGGCTGGGGCTATATACTGCACATATGCCAAAGGCCTAAATCTAAATTTGTGATGAACAGGGCTTGACCACTTCTTACTTCATCTTTGGCTACGACGACGATTATTCAAGTACACTTCCATGGATTAAGAACATTAATAGGTAGTTTTTATTTTTAAGTCCAGCACAGAATTACAAGCTTTTTAACAGTACTTTTTCATTTCTTATTGTCTTCATTTTCAAAAAGATATACAAGACAGGTGCGTAACAAAACAAAAATCAACAAAAACAAAATAACCAAAAAACCCTCAATCTCACAAAGATATACCCAAAATCCATCCTGGAGGGTCGAGTCAAAATGCATTAAGTTTAAACAGCAACTTGCAAGTACTTTTTGTTTTGTTTGAAATTCTTAAGCTTTTCTTGTTTCCACTATTGTTAATACACGCAAGAAAAAAACCACAAAAACCCTTCATTCACAGGAATATTTCAAGAAAAATCTGTCAATTATTTAAACTGTCCCTGGCAATGTTTGCTCACTTCTTCTTTCCTAAGGTGAAGAAGCCTCCTTTGCCCTTGGGCTTGTCTTTTTTACCGCCACTCCCGGAATCGAGGGGCATCGTCGCGGCCTTCTTCTCACCCTTTTCCGTGCCTCCAGCAGCGGTCTGGATACAGCTGATCCAGAAGTTGACTTCGTCATCGTCCTTGGCTTGGAACAGGTACTCAATGCCGCCGGGCAATCTGCAAAAAAACACCAAATCAACGAGTTTTAATTTAGTCAATTGTAAGTCCATCCTAAGTCAACTGTAAGTCAATCATGTGTCAATCACAAATCAATTCACAAGTCGAGTCAATAGTAACTCATGGACCATCACTTGGAATGTCTTAGTCACCGTGTTTTTGAATAGGTTGTCACTTGACTTGAGACGGGATGACTTGTGAAGAATCTGTGATGACACGTGATGATTCAAATGCAACTCTTACAAGACTAAGGCCGCCCTCAGGTCGACCTTGCGACGACACAGAACAGTCGGCAACTAACTTTTCAGGATCAAGCTGCGTCTGAGCTATGACTGTCGGGAACATTTCGGTCACTGATTTTTGTGTGACCTGAGTGTAACTGCGACGATATTAAGACGATCGGCACCAGTCGGCGCTAAAAGAACGGTCGCAAGAGTAGAAAAATTTCAACTTCTGCGCTGCAACGGAACGTGCTCCCGACAGGCAGGAATCAATCGCATTCGACCTGTGTAAAGTTACGATGTCATGCACGCATCCTGATCATCTAATTTTTATTGTGAATCCTCGTCGCTGTGCGGGCGACATGAGCATGGTTGCGATTATTCTGTGCCCAATGCCGCTTGTTGAACGATAATCACACAATCTCTCAGTTTTGTGACCGAGTACGACTTTTGTACTTGATGCTGACGGTTCCATCGTGGCGCAAGGAACAGCCCGTACCAACCTCTAAATTCTTTGACTATAGAACTGCCAAGAAAATGCATCTGGCAGGTGGGGGCCCTGTATTCAACTCACTTGAGTCTGAAGACGTGTTTCTTCTTGGTGTAATCATGGGCTACCTCCACCTCTGCGTTGGTCAGGTCGATGGGCGGCTCCTGGTGGAAGGTGATCTCCTGTAGCTTGGACTTCTTGTCCTTGTAGAAGGCCAACGAGATGCCGTGTTGAACTGCATAGACTTGATTCCATGATCTGGAGAGGAGGGACGTGAACCCAGGGTTTAATACAAACTAGCCAACTCCAAGCTTTACAGGTACATAGGATCATACGCTGTTTGAGCAACTTTTCATTTGGATACTCTCCATTGTGAGAAAACAGAGAAAACCTGTGATGAACAATTTCTTTTTGGTCTCGTTAGTGGATTGCGTTGGTGGTTCTTCTGCTTACAAAAATCGCCATTTCTTAGTTTAAATTGCATCATAGTGGTACAACCCCTAAATCAGCACTCGGGACACGATTCTCATTCGACCGGTTAGTATGCGTGACGTGGAGGTTGTAATTCTGTGGAGAATTAACTACAATGTATGTCTATTCATGTGCTAGGGCACATATACAGCAAGTCCTGCACACAGAGCTCTCAGAAGTGGTCGCTAAGCGCCATCTACCGTCATGCACAGAACCCATACAATTTCATTGTTATTTAGGGTGATATTACTTCATTATGCATTCAGCGCTACAAATGTCTCCTTCCTGCCAACTTCCTTACATCCAGGATCCAATTTCATGGCTCTGCTAACCACAGCATTCCGCGCTTACGATCACCAGTCTGTGCTAACAACGCTAGCAGACAACGTCTGCGTTAACCCAGTAAGACAAGAATCCTGTGCATAAGCCAAAATTCCTCGCTGACCCATGAAATATACTTACTGTAAGCACGGAATTTTCTGTTACAGTAAGCAGGGATTTTTGGCTAACGGTAAGCAGAGCCATGACATTGGACCCGGAGCTGCCAGGCAAGACCTCTCCACATCATTGAACCCTCACCTGTTTGATGCCTTCTTGTCCAGAGCATCCCACTGGCGTTTCCTGAGCAGGAAACCCTCGGCCTCGTAAGATCCTTCCTCACCAGCCAGGCCGATAGCCGCAGCCGATGGTCCGGCATCTCCCTCCCCGTTGACTGCCGGCTCCTGGGCGGGTGCCTGTGCCTCCTCTGCTGGGGCCTCGAATGTGACGGCCGGGGCTGGGGCCGCGGCTGCGGCTGGGGGTGGGGGTGGCGGGGCCGATTCCTCCTGGGCCATCTCCTGGGCTTTCTCCACAAACTCCTCAGCCGCTTGTCTGTGGTCGGCATACAGAATACAGACACAGTCAATCGTTAAGTCAAACCGCGAGTCTTATCACAAGCACTTTCACAAGACTAGTAACAGGGGATGATTCGTGACAAAGAAATATATTGGGTTGCACGTTGGATAGCTGTCACCGAACTTGAGGCTGCATGACTAGCAATCGACTTTTGACTTGAATGCAGCTCTAGATTTGTGCAGAAATGGCATCCCTGAGCTGTATACTCACCAGGGAGCTGAGTCGGTCTAAAGGGATTATTGGGACGGATGAATGTGGGTAACGACAATGCAAAAGCACCTGTGATGAACTAGATAGAGTCGATTTTGCAAGTTGGGAAACCTGGTTTATTCTCGGCAAGGCACTGATCAAGATTACACACACTACAAGCACATGCAACAGCATTGTGTACAGCAAGAATATAATGCATTGTGTTTGCGCGTAGAGTCCCGAGTCCCAAAACGTGGTAGAGTTCAGAAAGTGAGTCGAAGGGTCAATGATTATGCAGATTATAACTACTAGAGTAGCCAATAAGTCTCAAGGGTGTAGGTATATCACAATACCCATGTCGTTATTATTAAGGGGTAGTATGTAAAGCTCAGGGGTTTTAGTTTGTGACTCATGATCAAACAGTCAGGAGTTTGAATCCTGCTGCTGGCAAAATGTTGTGTCCTTGGGCAAGCCAGTACATCCCAACTAGCCTCTCTTCACCCAGGATTACAAATGTGCAATTAGCTGAGATCTGAATGGCATCTCACCTTGCAGTACGAAATATTCTCAGTCACTTCATGACAGGAATTTGGGAGAAATATGGCCAGATGAGTCACACTGGCTTGGGGCAGACTTTGTTATTTATATTATGGCTTTGATGAGCGGGCATCGAAACGTTGGTGGATAAATTTAGGGAAGAAGGCAAATGAAACAGGTGGTAACTCAGGTTCACCTCTAGGTATTAATAGGTATTATGGGGCATTATGGGGTAATATGGGGTATTATGGGGCATTATGAGGTATTATGGGGCATTACTGGGTATTATGGGGTATTACATGTATGGGCTCAGCCTCGAGTTAACGCTTTTTGCATTCTTCCTGTACCTGATCTCTTTCTGTTCTCTCTGTTGTCGTTCCTCTTCCTCTCTCCTCTCTGCATCCTGCTGTTCCTTCATGAAGTCGTCCACCACCTTGTGCTTGAGAGAGGGTGACTCCTTCATTGGGGGAGACTCCTGGCCGGCAGCTCGCCTCTCCTCGTCTTGCCGGCGACGCATCTCCCGCAATTCAAACTAAAAGCAAGTGGGGGCAATGTTTAGAAAGATTGAAGCTTCAACGCCCGGCAATGGAGGAATGAATGGATTGACACAAGCAACAGCCACTTTGTGACAGGGTGCAGAATCTGTGTTGCGAATTCACCGGAGTTGAACACACTTCTTTCCTTGCAAATTTTGTCCTCAACCTTTCTTAAAGTGAAATTTCTTTTGGGGTTTTCAAAACTTTGACTCCATGTCCCACTTCCGCTTCAGTCACCTCCAGAACATTGTCAGATCTTTGAATGATGGAACCAAAGGAACCTACTCTACCATTTGGCATTGTAATATATATCTCTCTCAAATGACGTCACTGCCTACAGATTACCACGTGCATGGGCATTTTGGGCGTCAAAGTTTTTGTGACGCGCATCGGCTGTGCCGTATTTTGAAGAAATTTTGAGCAACATGCGTGCGTGTTTAGAATATTTTGCACACTGCGCGCAGCAAACACCTCATGGAGTTAAATACGCAGTTGTAGCTTTGCTGCGAAGACGGCTGTCTATGAGAGGGGTCTATTGTGATTTCGAAATGCACCCAACACTGAGCCTGCATCTGTAACATCAGGGACCTAAAAGCATGAAACTACAGTCTGAAGCCTTGAGCAGAGGATTGATAAAAGCCATTCAAACCACCTTGAAGAATGACAAAACTTTTAAGTTGTGAAAGCGGTATCCATAAAGTTTCTTCGGTTATTCTGTACGACAGCCTGCACAAGTTTCACTGGACTTTTTGTCCCATAAGGGGGTTATGGTTTGGAGAACCACTCGATCCATCCCAATAGCTTAATACCTACATGCCGAATCCCTGAACATTCTAGAATAAAACTGCACTGAAAATTCTTCCACATCAAAAAATAAATATGTACATAATAATCTTGAAACTGCGAACTTGTTTTTTTTTTGGAGAAATATTTTGCACCTAACATTTTGTCTTCAAAACAAATATAAAGCTGTGAATCCAACAAACTTTGTGTTGAATGTTTTGGGTTTTTTTGCCGTCTTACCGTGGTGAGTTTTTCCAGGGCCACAAAGCGGTCTTCCTGGGCCTGCAGTGCCTTCTCAAAGGCCTCGTGCTTCTTGATCAACTTCTCAACCTCGTCCAAAGAATTCTGTGCAAAGAATTAAAACCCAGGCATAAATACGACCACTTACGACATTGAGTGGTACAATGAAGAAATTACAACATAGAGTAAAAATAGAAATAGTTTGGTAAGATTGAAATGACCCGGCTAAAAATCTACCCAAGCAGGAGGGTAAGTGTTGAAAAACGATTTGCCGTTTATCCCAACAGAATTTCCAATTTTCAATTTGAATCTCATCTCTTCGGCACAATCGCATTAGAAATACAAGTTTTCAGATGCGTGCTTGGTTTCTCTCAAATCAGTTCACAGCAAGTCCATACAAAATAGTCTGAGCCCATCAGCAATCAAAGACCTACGGATGAATTCACCATACAAGTCTGCAATTTTTCCAGTTGTTGAAATACATTGGTTACATGTCTTTACCGAAGGAACTTGCGTTCTTGATCTACTGCCTTAATTTCCAGATTTTTCTTTTAAATGTCTACTAGAGAGAACATCTGAAATTGACATGCTACAGTGAATAAGTCTTATTGGAATACGCCGGACACGATAAGTTTTGGTAAATTCTTTGTTAGCTACCCAAATTCGATCCCAATCAAAAATCGGCCAGCTATTGTGTCTGCCATATCTCTAAAATGTTGATAGATTGTAGAGACTTACGCCATAGTCTGTGTTCTTCAGGTACGCCTCCTGGCTGAAGAGCCAGGCCTCTGCGACGTGGGCATCCCGAGCAAACTGGTACACCTCCAAAACTGGAAAACACAAAATCACCGCTTATAAAACATCATCAATAAACAAACCAGAAATGTACCCAAGAGTTGCAGTCAATGTTGATCACAAGTTGATCCCAAGCCACCCAGGCTGCAACTCAAGTGAGAGTTTATTTGAATAAATCGTGACAAAGGAATGCCACTGTCACTGTTAAGCACTTCTTACTTGTAGCCTAAATTGCATTTAGACTTGTGACTGACTTGTGATGGACTTATTTACAACTCTGCCTTTTCCCAAACGCCTACAATATTCCTTGCCCTTAAAAAAAAAATTGGAAAAAAAGAAGAACTTCCTGTTTTCGTATTCAATAGGCCCACGTAATGGAATTTTGTTTAAATGCATACCTCGAAATATACTTAAGTTGTGTTCCATTTAATTTATTTGTAAAATGTGACATGACAGCAATAGCACCCTCAGTTTTCACGCAAAACATGAAACACATTAAATGTTCAAAAAAGTGCATTTTAAAAAGATTCTTGTAACAAAAAAAGGGATGTCTCATAACTTCTTATAAATACGTTCCAGTGTAAAATTCATTCATGGTGTCATAAAAGAAATTGAATCCGCGGATCGCATGTTTTTTTTATGGAGCTGTTAAGCAGAAATTATTGCCAAGCACATTTATACGCTGCAGAGAGCCAGCCACAAGCTATATACATTTTTGTTATTCTGGCTGGTAACCCATTTTTCGCTTAGCATATTTCTGTAATTGGCAGTTCTCTATCCACTTACTGAGTTGAAGGAATTCCCAGCGGTGTTCCCATTCATTGATCATCTCCTGGCGTCGGGTGCCGACCCCAACCAACTTGCTGTGGATCTAACAACGCACACACACACACAAATCAACAATCAAGTATCTAAAGCAGTTTAAAGTTGCCCTCCCTGAGCTATTTTTGAGTTCCCTTTCCCAATAAAAATTTTGTTTTGAACTTAATTTTCTAGCAATACAAAAGTTAGTCAGTCTTGAATGAGACATCGAACAAAGAAATCAACCCACGTTTAGTAGTAAATGAGTTCCACTGTATACAAGGAAAACCTTCATAGTACTCTTGGAACAGACATGTATTCCATTCAGGCAAACATCTCTCCTCAAATTACACTATATAACAAAATCAACTTGAGTCTTGATGACACTGCACGATGCAGTTTGAGCCAAAGCTTGCCTTTTCAGAACCGGCTTCCCTTTTTTTGAGTAAGTTCACATGGTGTAATTTTCCCAAGACATTGTTCAAATTAACAATGTGGCATCTGTGGCAAAGGACATAATCTTCAAGATTGTCCAAAGAAACATGTACCCTAATTGTGATCATGTCCGAAAAAATGAGTCCTCAAAACATAGGGTTGAGTCACGATAAGGTTGGATCACAATTTCTAACACAAAAAATCAAAGAAATCCACGTGTCAAAAAAAAGAATTCCTCATCTCAAAACCTGAAGTCCAGCATGTTTGCCGTTACCTCTTTGCTTGCGTAGTGGTTCTTCTCCAGCATCTCCTTGCCCAGGTTGAAGCATTCCGTGAAGCTGTCGTCCCTGGTGTCAATCTCCGCCTTCACGTTCTGGTGTTGGTTCATCAGAAGCTCCACCCCCGATACATCCCTGGTAAAATACGAAACACAAGGCTTCAAGTGTTGTTTGTGTACTTAATCTTACAGCCAAAAGTTACAGGATTTTGTTTGTAGGGAGTGGAACATGATTCAAAATTGAACCCTGTGTGTGTTTGTCTTTCCATGAACATGTATGGCTTTACGATAGAGGAAAGACACACAAAGGGAGAACACGAGATCCTTTCAGTCCTCGAGCGTTGGGTCTTTTCTTGAAAACGGTCCTCGATGGTACGGTGATGTTATTTAGTCTATGGGAGAGTGTTATATTACAGGGACAAAGGGAAACACAAAGCATTGTCATTGGCATATATAGAAATTCACCACTGTATGTATTTGAGTCTGAGTCGAAGCTTTCAATGCAATTATCTAATTTACCTGCGAAATCAACCCAATTTTTCAGGCTGAAGATTCTGGGTTTTTTTTCTTATTTGTTATCAATGGAAAAGTTTCAATTGCTATTGACTTTTGGATGCAATGACTTTGACAACCTTCTCATTTTTTTTTCTTTCAGGAATTCCCTGAACTCTGTTGTTTCACAATGACTGATCCAGATTTCCTGCCACTAAATCCACGTCATTGCAACTCTGGGGATGCAGGAATGGGGCCAAATTTGTATTTAAAAAAAAATCAGACCTGAAAATGATTGTTTTTTTTTTAAATGAATGCGGTTGTCTACTAACTCCATTTCCCCACACATATTTGTGAAATATTTAAAAATAGGAAGAAAGGAACTGGGAAAAAGAGTGCCTTCTAGTGTCAAATGAGGTCCAAAGATCAATATTCTATGATAAACAAAAAAGAATAAAATTAGACAGAAAAAAAATGACCAAACGTACCTAGCCTTTTCCTGAGTGATGATCTGCTGTATGACATCCTCCATCCACAGCATCAAGGATCGGACCATGTTCAGGAATCGGTACAGGTCACTGGTGTGGTCCAGCTTGACCGCCCGGTCTTCGATGTTCCTCCTCAGGTTGTTCCAGGCGTCTACCACCTCCTGCTCACGGTTGTTGATCTCTCGCTCCTTGTCGCCCGCGTAGGCTGCCCTCAACCTCTGGGCCTCGTTTTGAACACCCTCGACCTGCGGGAAGAAACGCAACAGAGGTTACCTCTTAAATGCGGTGTGAAGCTCTTTCTGGCTGAGTGATTGGAATAAAGGGCTATGTGGGTATGTGAAAAAAAGGATGCTGGTATACCATGGAATTAACTATAAAGAAGCAGGATTCTAAAAAGAACTTGTAGGGAGAACTGTTCTCAACTTTGGACTGTTTCTCCTCTTGAGAAAGCGGTTATCTTACCGTTTTTTTTTTTTTAAACCCTCTCCATGTTTAACACTTCTGTATGTATGACACTTCAATGATTCTGAGTTATGCAAACTTTGAAGGATTTTCAAGTGTGTATAAGACTGACTGTGAGCATTTCTGTGACCTTTTTGGATCCTGCAAACATACCCAATCATGCAGCAAAAAAAGTTTCACATTACACATTAATTAGTCACAATTTTGGGCTTAAAAAGTTTCACGGGTCATCCCACTTGGAAAGTACTACCTTCCCTCAATCCTGACAAATCCTGTCAAATGTTGCTTCAGATTTGTGAGGATCTTGGAAGGTTCAAGGTTGATATACTTTATTTCTGGTGGCCGGCTACTGACCTGTACTTGGAGTGAACTGAGGTCACTCTGGAAGGTGATGTGTTTCCGTTGTAACACTGTCACAGACTGAGCGTCCTTGCCAAGATCGCCAGACATCTCCTGGTGCTTCTCCTGCACAATGAATGACAAACACATGAGCAACATGGTATGAGTGAATAATTATATGAAGCCCACAAGGAGTGTTGCAAAGTCCCAGATTTTTGGTGATTTTGTAGACATCAAGCCGAAGCACAAAGGACGGGTAGACTGAGTAATTTTAGCAGGAATAGTTTAACCCTCCTATGCAAACATACATTCAAGTTGTCCTTGCAGTCAAAATCAATCAAGTCACTGTTTTCAACAAGAAATATTCCCATTCTACATAAAGCAGGATTGACTGGCTTGGACTGATTATTAAAGTAACTTGATACAGCTATGCTTGGGTGAGTGATAAAACAGCAGTGACCACAACTTGCCCAGCTTGACTAGACACAGTGCTTAATTGACATATGATCGAACTGCTGGTGACTAGCCTTTGTTAAAAGTACAGCAGGGGTAGTGGAAGTAAATTTTGACTGTCTGTGACTGCTTAAATAGCAGGAGGTTTTAATAGAAAACACAGCTCACTACAGGTATGCTTGAAATGTAAACAACTATTTGCAAGCGGACTTGAACTTGGACTAGAGTCTGAGTGAATTTTGCATTAGTAGTTCATTTTCAGTCGCTACGCCTCAACTTACGCCACCTAACATGATTGCACAAGTTACTCTATAATTTGGTGCACAAGTCGCGGAATTACGCACCATTAAGCTTTTGAGAAATTGTCATAACTGAAACATTGCACAGCGTGAAATGCTGCGAAATTATTGCACAAAGTTTCATAAAATCGGCTGCAGAACTGTATCCTGCTGCAGTTGGTGACCACAGACCCCCTCCCCAGGCACTATAGCCTTGAGATTTTTGGACTTGATGGATCTTGCTAGTTGCTACACTCAAACATATTTCAAAGTTTTCTGATTCTTTCCGTTGTCTTTGGATGACTTACCTGGAGTCTGCCAAGCACTTCCTTTGCATCATAGTAGAACTTGTGCAGCTCATATGATGCAGCTAACATCTGTACAGATGAAGTACGAAAAGTTACAAATTACAAATTGGTACCACAAAGCTCATCTGGACAATTGTGATAAAACATGGGATTTTTAACATAACATTTTGCAATATTACTGACGTGTGATGCTGCTATTTCCGAAACGTCTTTTTGTTCTTGTTTTTTGGGTGTGTGTTTTTGTTCCTTGTTTGTTAACTAGTTTGGCTTGGTTTTTTTGTGTGCTAAGTTTGTCTTGTCCTGTTTTTCTGTGTAATGTTCTTGTAAAATCTCTCTCTTACTGTTGGTTGGTTTATTGGTTTTATCCTTAACACTTAAATTTAATGCCTTAATTGTATAAAAAAATTATGTAGTTTTCATTTTTAATGTTCATCTGTGTCACAATTCAGCCTTTTGGCTGCAATGAACAGATTTTAATAAACCAGTAATAATAATAATAATAATGTCAAATTTATTAATATTATGTAAACGAATAACTGTTGGAAGAAAACTGTGAAGGCTTCAGTTAGTAAGAGCAAAGAAATACGTATGCACCATTAAAAAAAACACCAGTAGGGAAAGAAGCAGCAGGGGGAAAATCCACAGTTTGCTGAGCACGTAGCAGATATCACTTAGCACATCAACTTGCAAAGCAATGTTCTCATGAAATAGGGAGGAGTTTGTCATTTAAAAAAAGGACTGAAAATTGGATCAAGATCTTAAAGATACATTTCTTTCTATACTGATAATGTCTTTAGCTCGGATTCAAAAAAGACTGATTTCAGACAAAGTTTTGAAAACCCCCAAATACGTTCAAGTTAGTGGAACACACCCCTGCACTTAATCTGAGATGCTCTCCCTAGGTATGGCGACCACCTACCATGGTTCTCGTCTCCATGAGTTCCAGCAGATCGGCCCAGGACTCGTTCAGTTGGTCCTTCCACTCGGCGATGATGGCCGAGTCCGTGTGGCCGGCATCGATCAGGTTGTCAGCCATGCGGTTGACGTTGGCCACCCGCTGGGTGCCGATGTTGCGGGTCTCTCGGGAGAACTCCTCAAACCTCTCCTGGAGCATCTGTAGAACGTTGACAAAAGTACCAATTTTTATAAGTAATATTTTAACTGTTAACCCTAAAAGGGCCGGGATTCCGCCCCCCCTAAGATCTCGACCATCGAGTGACGAACAAATTTGAAACTCGATACATGCATAGAACAACTCTTCATAAACATACCCAAGAAATTTCATGACTATAGGTCAAAGGGTTTTGGAATTATGGCTAATTAATTATTCATATGTACGAATGGCAATTCTGCTGTGTACACGACGTATACGGGAAAATTCAGTTTTCAAATTTTTTGCTGCGTGGCAACCCATGGTCCAATTTTTATGTTTTTGGTATCAAAAGATGCGCAAGGCTCGAGGCTAAAAAGTCATAACGGCTCAGTTCGTGAAAATTTTTTTCTCAAGGTTAACTTGGAAAAAGTTGAGGGGGGGGGCGGATTCCGCCCTTGAGGTAAATCTCATGTTATCGCCTGTTCAATATTGCATTCTCTCGATTTGTAATTGCTTGTCATCGACTAAACTACAACTCAACTTGTAATTAGCCAGTTAAGTACTTCAATTTGTTTGCACACTCCAAGATCTGACTATTTTCTTTTGAGATAACGACTCTGCCATTGTACAAAAATTGAAGAACAACTCTTGTTCTGAGGTACCAAATCCTGAAAATATGAATGTAGCGTGTTATTCAGTATGTTTTATCCTCCAACTATCAAACGCCACTTTTCGGGTAGCAGAGGCATAATTACAAGATCTGTGCTGATCACCCCATCCTTGGCCAAGTGGTACCTTTACTGACCATAATCCGTTTGGAGTCCCTTGTGGATGCTTGCATTTTAGGTTTTTTTATGGCACGCATCAGTGCCATGCTGCTCAGGTGTGCTTTTAGGGCAAAGGGGTAAGCAACCCTTGGGTCCATCTATGTTCCATATTTTAGAAGATCTCTTTATCTGTGAGTGGCTTTTAGTCTTGGAATGGGTGCCTTCCATTAAAAAAAAAACAAAAACAACAACAACATACTAACCGTGACATGTTCAAAGTCCTGTCCCAGCTCATGTGAGCCAGCCACCACCTCTCTCTCCGCGATCCATTGCTCCAAGTCATCCACCTCTCGGTTGAGCTGGAAGAGTTTGGTGGTCTCCTCCAGGCGTCCCCGTCTCTCCTCGGCCAGGTCCTTGAGACCCGCGTACAGCTTGTCAATCTGTGACTGCCGGATGGCTATCTGGTCACTGTATGACACGCAAGGGATCGGACAAAGAAAAACCATCCAGTCTTGTTTTCAAAGAGCTGATGCACGAAAAAGTAACACACACTCTGTGTGCTTGCTTCAGGGTTGCAATCATGTGCAATCACCAGCCAAATCCACAATTCAGGTCACAGCTTAAAGGGGATAAAAATGACTGCCTTGTTACAATTCATAAGATGCTTGTCGCTTGTCATGTGCTTAACTTATTATGTTAAGGATAATTCACGGGGAGCGTGCCGTTCATGGGTGATGAATGGCCCTCAGGCTCCATTCATCACCCACAAACGGCGCGCTACTGCTTGTATCAAACGTACTTAACAGGCATGCAACTGTACATTCACAAAAAGCGAGGAAATTCCAAAATTCAGAAGACTTTGTACAGTGTTTTTTATTTTGAATGACTGAAAAGGGAATATAAAAGAGGAAATCAGCTGATCTGAGGAAAAGTTGCAAGCCTGACTTAAAACCCTTCAAGAACTCTTCATTATTGCCTGAACTAAGGCCTTTGCACATCTCCATTGATGAAAAATTATACTCTTTACGGTATACTAAAAATAAGTTGAGCATACAAATGTGCCAGTCGGAGTGTGGTGGATTAATTTTTAGACCAATTCGTAAATGTCAAAAAAGTCAATCCATATTAATAAGACATCATCTATTCGCAGAATGTGTATTAAAATTTAAAAAAATGTTTATTTATGAGAAAAAAAACAATGTAAATGACGTCAAATGATTGTTATTATTTAGTCATTAGTTACATTTAAAGCATTTAAAAGAATGATAGTTGTCGAGTTGCAACAGTAGCCTTGAGGTTAACAAAATGAGCTATGGATTAAAAGATCCATGGTTCAAATCCTGCTATATCCATTTTTGTAATGACACACTGCATGTTCCAGACATGCGCGTCACACACAAGGGCATGCCTGGGATTTGCAAAACATGACGAGGTGAAGCTAAGAGAATCAGTCTATTACAAACTCTTGCGATGGTTTGCCATACCTCTGTGGGTGGCTCTCGTCCACCAACTGTTTGGCCTCGTGCGACAGCTCATTGATGGTCTCTGCGTAATCCTCCACGGCCGACTCCAGGATCTGGTGCTTCTTGAGCATGCCCTGGGCGTTAGCGTCATCCTTGGCTCGCTCCTCGCCCATCATGTACAGCTCCTGCTCGCTCATCCAGGCCTCCGCCTCAGCTGCATTGAAGTAGTACTGGAAAGACAAGATGAACACAAATAATCATAACAAACTTGAAAAGATTCTGTCACTTGACAATTTGTAATAAAAAGCTGTATCCTCTCGGAGTGATCCTCATTTGCTATTTCCCAAGTCTGCATCGTGACTTTTGGCGTAATCCCTGGCTGTATGGCATATACAGGTTTATGGCTGCTGACTAGCTAGCGCCCCTTGAACAAAGACACTGACGTATTGGGTAACCACCAACATAGGACTGAATAGCTCAGTTGGTAGAGCACCAGAACAGCAATCTGGAGGTCACATGTTAGAAGAAGCCTTTCAGGTAGAATTTATTATATGACACGAAAAAGTAAAGGGGGCCAGTTAGTAACTATCATGGCTTTTTTTGACCCCAAACTTCAGCATCTTCTCCCCCTTGGGCTTCATCTTTTGCTCGAAAGTCGTTTTGAAACCTCTAACCCATTAGTCCCGGTCCCGGGTGTTTCAGGATTTCTCAACTGACCTCTTGAGCTTTCTCCGAGTCAATCAGCTTAGCCTTGCGTTCCTTCATGGCATCCAGCAGCTGTTGCCACATGTCCTGCAGCTCCTGGACGCCAGTCTTGATCTTCTCACTCTGCGGGTGGCCCTCCTCAATGACGGTGTTGGCCCGGCCGCACAGCTCCGTGATGCGCAGCTCGTGGCCGTCAATCTCCGTCCTGAGCGAGTTGTTCTTCTTCTGCAGGGTCTGGACGGCCTGCAGGCTGTTGCCGATGTCGTTGGAGGTGGCTAGCGGCATCTTCATCTGGATCCACATCTGGCAAGAGAAAACAATTTGTTGATAATTCACACCAAGCTTCAATTCATTTGTTTTAATTTGCTGAAAAACTACTTCTGAAAAAAAAACACCCACCTTTTCCTTTATATTTAAAGCCCGGTTCATACTTCATGCGAAATTTTAGCGGGAAGCATATTCACTTTGGTTACAGCGTCACAATGGAACTTCAACTGCGTCATGAAATTTGATTCGATTCGCTTTTCGATTTGATAAATGTCTCATTGGAACAGCTTGGAGAGGGCAAATTAAACATATTTATAGTTAGTAAAGGAAAAAGTCTCAGTGAGGGGAAATTTTACACAAAACAACTCAAAATTGATGGTGCTACTTCAACTACAAGCTGTCCACCTTTGTAGAGTGATATGGGCTCCCTGTGCAACTACTACCTCTAGTAGTAATCTGTTACATCTTTCTGAGTTTCCACTGTTTGGGCTGCCACAGAAGAATCAAGATCACAAACCCCAAGTTCTCTCCCCAAGGGGGGAAAAGCAAGGACCACACAATACTACACAGTGAAGAGTAACACTTTGTGAATAACAAATTAGCATCACTGAATGAGATTAATCGAGGACCATTGGTGGCCTCATGGTTGACTCGAGGCGTAACTTACGCCTGCGAAATTATGGCAACATGTGAACCCATCTAGTCAAACGATGCTCCAAAGGTCATAACAAAACTTCTTGGTCCTGGCTTCCTGCTGTGGGTTATGATGTGCACGGCTATTGTAACCGGTGATGTGACTGACCTCGGTAGGCTGCAGCCGATTTCACGCAACAGTGTGCAACTTACGCCATGTGTAGTGTTAGGCAACAAATTTACTTCGCAGCTGCGCAATAAACTTATGATCGATTTCACGAAACTTGCCCAAGGTTTTAATTAATCTCAACATCATGGACAAGGACAATAACAGCACGTACGGCAGCTATTGGGTATGATTTTGTTCGTTCACGAAACAGTCCTTGAATGACCCACGCAAGAATTTTGAAAATAGTTGTATCCGTCTTTCTTCGGAATCGTGCGGCAACTCTAAAATTTCTGTCACAAGTAAAATAGCACTTCATTTACTTCAAACACAAAGCTGCGAGTGTCTTGTATCAACCTTGATAAGTTGTGCAATAACAGGCTCCATGAACGATCATGATTTGCTGGTGAAATAGGTCATTTTCAGTCGCCACGCCACAACTTGCGCCACCTAATATGATAGCACAAGTTACGCCATAATTTGTTGTGCAAGTCGCAGACTTACACACTATGACACTTTCGTGAAATTGTTATAACTGAAATGTAGCACCGCATGAAATGTTGTGTAAATTAGGCAAAAAAATTGTGGCACATGTGGAGTTACGCCATTGCGTCGAGTTTCGTGAAATCGGCTGCTGGTCCTATATAGTAGACTAGACTAGTTCGTCTATTCTCGACTAGCATGGGTTCAAGTTGAAGTAAAACCATAGTTGTTGTTACAGCTTGTCCATTGCTGTCCAACTGGCCTGGACCTACCTTCTCTTCATCGATATCTCTAAGCAGCTCCAAGCCTCTCCTCTGTGCATGCAGGACATTACTCCTCTGGGTCAGGGGCTCGGACATGGAGTTGAAGCGTTCCTCCACCTGTACCTTCTTGACGGTGATCTTCTCCATCTCCAGGATGTCGTCTGTGCAGACCTGGGCCTGCAGTTGGTTCACCTCGGCCTTCTTGGCTGTCACCAGGTTCTCAACCATCTGTGGCAAGAGGAAAATTGTTAAGAGATTACACACCTCCACGAGAGAAACTTTTACTACAGAAGAAGAAGAGTTGTAACAGCAGTGCGTGCGATTTTCCCCTAAGTGACCTGGCTACAAGTATAAATTACAAGCCAGGATGGCATGTGGTTTAGGTTTTTAGTCCTTGCCTGATTCTGAGGTTTCCCGCCACTCCGTAGATCATTTTGTTATCAACTTTACATTATTTCGGGCTTTGGAGGAACGCGAGTCTTTACTAGAAAAATATAGTCCAAAGTTTTTAACCTTGTAACGCTACGGAGCTAGTGCTGTACTCCATTTAACTTGGGTGTAATTTATCAGTAAACTACAAAGTTCATCCTAATGCTCTTCAAACGTTCAAAAAAACATGATGCTGAATCAGACATCTAGACAACTGACGAGAATCCTTCTAAATCTAACAGAATCTAAGAATGAGAACCAGCTGTTCAGTCCTCACTGCTTAGCTTGACAGGGTGGCTGGTAAATGGATCTTGCTGGATTCAGCAGGGTTTGGGTCGGTGATAAAATTGTGATCACTTTTCTGGCTGTCCAAACAAAACTCCCCTCCGGCTGAAACCTTGCCAGGGACTTACAAGGCAAACACTTAAAGCAAAAGGCGTGGGAAGGTCTTGCCATCCCTTGCAGATTCTAGGGTCTTTGTCTTCCAAGCCTGTCTAGCCTTTACCTGCTGTTGCTTGATGGCCATCATGACTGACTTCAGATCTTGCGTGGGCTCCTCGTGGGTCAACTGCGTCTCCAGGTCTGTCAGCCAGTTGTCGAAGTCGTTGCAGCTCTCAGTGAACAGGTGCTGGCTGTTGGCCTCAAACAGCTTCTTGCCCTTGACTTCTGTCATCTCGTCAAGGTCCTTCCAGGAGTGGTCCAGATCCACCAGGCGCTTGTTGACCACCTCCTCAACCTCCGGCTTCTCTTTAATCAACCGGTCTCCGTGCTGCGATGCAGAACAGATGAGAGGAGCAAGCACAGTTTCAATTTGCAGGAAGGTACAAATTTCAATTTAAGTATAGGCACTTTATGAGGCCGAGGGGGACAGACTCACCTTGACTTAGTGTCCCTAGTAATAAGGTTTGCACCAACCTTTGAAGAGAATGGGTCATTCCTTCATTCATAAACAATACAGATAAGCCCTTTATAAACTGGTGTCATTGTCTTGATGTCTTGGATTATCCCTTTCTTATTCTCAATGTGAAGCAATTGAACCAGTAACCTTTATCCTTAGCATTGATCGTTAGGATGGGGAAAGATTATCTAAGAAGTGTTTATTTCTGTCAGGTAATAGGGATATGTCACTGTCTCATACTCAGGTTGTAAAACAACGAACACTACTTCCATCCAAACTGCTGAATTTTAGTAACCTTAACTCCCTAGCGTCTTTTACAAGGAACTGGACCAATTCCATCAAAATCCATCAATCACTGTGCATCTTATACAAAACTGTACATGACATAATAGAACCACCACTGACGCACTGGTCGACATTCATGGACTTGCTACACATGGCTTTTATCACAATAGCAGTACAGGAAGCTAGGCAAGATCAATCGGATACCCCTAGCACTGCTTCAGGCCACTAGGCCCAAGTCCATCATACTCCATCAATATTTAGTCACGCCAGGCCTTCTGGACCAAGTCCCCCCAAATCCACCAAAATGGAGGGATGGATTTTGATGGAGTTGGGGTGGTTAGGATAATGGTATAAACAGTCTAATTCCAAATTTATGTAAATATTAGTAACAAGTTACGTAATAATGTGACTGCTGAGCTGTTATGAGTCTCAAAGTAGGTGATGTACCATGATTTTCCATGCAAACACCAAGTGGACTACTAAATGTTCCTGCAAGCTAGCAACAAAACTGTCAGCTAGCCAGGAGGGCTGTTAACAATCAACATGACAGCGAACGCAAGTGTTTGACATCATGGCGACTTTATCGGGCTACCAGCTCGCTAACGTTGAATACATTCTAAATTTGCATTTGCATGAACCAGTTTTTAGAGCAAGACCTTGGATAGTTCTCTACTGACCTCTCTGAGTTTGTCCAGGCGATCTTTGTTGGCCGATAGCTCTGCCTCAAAGGCCTGGTGCTTCTGCCACTTGCCGTGGAGGCTGCGGGCCTCATCATAGGTCTCCTCCTGGGCCACCACTGTCTTCTCAACAAGGAAGATGCCCAGCTCGTCAGCTTCTTGCAGGAAGGACTGCAGGAGGCGGTTATCCTTGAGACGGTTCAGAGTGGCCTCCGCTGCCTCCCGGTTAGCTTTACGTCTGTGGGTCAAACAAGTGGTTTGAGGCTTTATAGCAATTTGGAAGTATACAGAGACACTATGTGAAAAAATGAAAGAGAAGCACAATTTTTGAAAAAGACTCAGAGGTTGTAATTGGCTGTATCGGCAACCAGCCGCAACAGCCTTTGTTTTCGTTAAAGTTTTTCCCTTCTTTTTTTCCCTTCTTTTTCAGCCATTCCCCATAGCATTTGTACACGTTTTCATCGTGGAAGGCACTTTGGGCACTAAAATCAATCTGATTGACTTTATACTCGGCACACACTTAGACCAGCATCTGAAGATGTGCGCCGAACATTGACGTCATCGTGACGTCATCATGTGACCCGTGACGTCACAATATAGGTGCATATTTCGAAGGCCTTTATCTCCATAAGTACAGGTCCGATTGGGTTGAAACTTGTACCTGAACCGGGATGTGTTATAGATGAAAATTGAAGAGATGTCACGATGACGTCATCACGTGACATGTGACGTCATATTGAAATTGCATATTTTGAAGGCCAATATCTAGAACTGTATTGGTCCTGATCACTCTACCGCACATGTTGTCCTATCAGCCTTACATGGCATAAAAATACAATAACAAATTATTTTCTTTTTAAATGTGACGTCATCATGACGTCATCACGTGTCATGGGACGTCATAATTCAAAGCACTATGAGAATGTAATCACATATTTATATGCCACCATTTAATATATACATAACTACACATCCTTCCTGGATGGAACTTATACTTGAAACTTCGTCACATATATGTCACAAAAAAGTTACCGAAACAGCCCTGTGTTTGTCCACAAACATAAATCTAGTTGTTTTAACCTATTCTTTAAAATTTAGATCAAGCTTTACGTCTGTGGGTCGCACAAACAATAGATTGGAGCTTTGTTCGGAGGTATTCAAAGCATTCGTTCTCCATTAGGCAAGTTGATAGCAATTGGTCATTGTTCATTCTGCGGCAGATGATAATTTATCTGACGGCATGCCATTTGTTTTTTCGTTACCTCTCGTCGATATTTTCCGCCTTCTTGTTGATCTTGTCGGCGGCGTAGTGATTCTCGTCGCACAGGCGTTGCGCAAAGCTGAGCACAGTGTTGATCTTTTCGTCGTTGGTGTCCATTTGGGTCAGGAAGGTCTCGTAGCGCTTGATGGCATCATCACAGGCCTCAAGGGAGTTCTGGAGGAAGTGACAAATGAACCAAACATCTGATGGTTATCAAGGTAATCATTGGACCTTAATAGACCTTTTGCATTGACGGTATCTCAGAGGGTGTTTTTCATTATTATAAATTAGGAACAATGAACGCATAATAGGTGTACTCATGCCTTTCCAGACGATACAAATGCAGTGCCCTCTAAGTGCGCCCCAACGCATCGGGTCTATTGAAACTGGATCATAAAGGGACAGAACAAACCTTACAACAATGTCGGTAATCTGTACTTGGTTTGAGGCAATGGACATTATCTTTTTTGAAATACTTTTTGATAAAGTGCTCAACTATAAACTCTTTGCCTTACTTCTAAGCCTCTTAAATTGAAGATATGCAAGGATAGCTGCTTTGTTTTTAAAGCTTTGATTCTTTTGCAAGAGGAGAATGCACTCTTGAGGTGACAATTTGCAATTCAAAGTCGAAAAAGCAAAGAAATTGAACCCAAGACGTCTGGATTACCATTTCAGTGCTCCACCAACTAAGCTATAGACTCAATGTGGACTTTTTTTGTTCGCTGTGTAATTTAACAGTTACGGACTTTTGTACCACTTAAAAAAAAATAGTTTTTCGGATAAACCTCTGAAAGTAGTACGGACAATACATCAAAATATTGATAAATTGGGGAACCATCAACATAGGGCTGATTGCACAGTTGGTAGAGCACCGGAACGGCGATCCGGAGGTTGAAGGCTCAAACCCCGCTCCAACTTTAAAACTCAAATCCTAACTGGAAAAATCTTTAAGTTGCTAGCACTTACAGGTTGTTCCACCTTGGCTAGGAAGCTCTCCTGCTGGTTGAGGAGATGGTCGGCCTGCCGGGCGTCACGCAGGAACATCTGGTGGTTGAGGGCCTGAGACAGCAACAGCTGACGGTTGTCCCACATCTGGTGAAGCTCGATCCAGCCATCGTCCAAGGCTTGAAGACGCTGAAAGGAATTGAAATGAGCAGTGAAGATTAGAAGTGAACACCATCGGATAATCCACTTGCTAGGGGACTTAGAGGTACTTATGATCATTTGTTTTTTGTGCGTTTGTTTTTTTATTTGAAGTAACAGAACTGCTCGAAATCCTTAGTAGGGTGCACTTTATTGAAAATTATAGTTATTGAAAGGCGCCAGTCAGTGAAAAGTCAATGTGAGTGTCAAAGTGAAGGTAATTGTGTGTGAGAGAGAAACTGATTGAAGACGTGGGTTTTGAGATGGTGTGTGAAGAGAGATAGATCCTATATTGTCTTTAACTCGTCTGGTAAGGAGTTCCAGAGAGGTGGTGCAAAGCTGGTAATTGCACAGTCTCCATAGGTTACTATAGATTTTGAGGAAAACAGAGAAAATGAATGCAAAGTCTTTTACGTGTGGTAACTGGTTTCGATTGCTAACGCATGTAAAACAGTATGTTCGCGGCACCCTATTTTAAAACCAATGTCGGTTTTCTTTCAAATAAAACCATTTCAGGTAGAATAATTTCACAGGGTATTTGGTATCAGTCTTATCTTAAATTTGAGCAAGGTTTCCATTATTAAATTAGTGGGTACTTTTCAGGGTAATCGTAAATGATCCTACGTGGCTTCTAACTTTAATCTCCTTAGATAATTTGGCTGATCTTCCTGCTAATACGTCATTTAATAGTTGTCATAGTGCAATTCTCTCCTTAAGTAACACATTTCATTGGCTTTACTACATAATTCATGGTCATACAGCCTCAGAATCCGAGGCCTTCTAGTTACCAACGGGTTGCCTAAGCATTACTCTGCACTGTTTCGACAGCTCAATGCAACAAGGTCCCACAGCTTTGTACGCATAATGCACCACGTTGCATTCAGCAGGATAAAAGGAAAGAGTGCGGATGGTATTTCAGGTCATTCTGATGAGTAAGAAGTACAACAAGCTCTATGCTGACTACGCAACTGGATTGTCTTCGCAGTAGCAACAGTTTCAGTGAGTTAAATCATTACACTATCTATCAATCTGAGAACACTCGTAAGTTTTAAGTGACAACATTTTTGTCACTTAGGAGCCGTGCAAAGAGAAGTGATAAAAATAGTCAGATGTTGTACCAATCACGAGTGAGAGAGCAACAAGATGTTCAAACTACTGACCTGCTTGAGGAACATGTACTGCGTATCGGTCTGCCCCTCGGTGATGCGGTCCCCTTGCTCCTTCATCTTGGCATAGTTCTCCTCGTACCCATCGATCTCATCCTTGATGGCGGCGTGCTTGTTGAGCAGCTTCTCAGCCTCCTTCAGGCTCTCGGGGATGTCCTCCGAGGCCACGGCGGTCATGGTCTTGGACAGCCAGGCCTGGAAGTCGTCCAGGTCCCGCAGGAACTGCTGCAGGTCCCCGGCCTCAGCCAGGGCTGCCTCTCGGGTCTTCAGCTGTGGTCAAAAGGAGTGTGTGGTGCGACGTTATGGGAGTTAGTCTCTGAGTTATAAGTCAAATTCATCATAAGTCATCACAAATCGAATGTCTCAACTAAGGGTTGGAGTTGACAGATGCAAAAGCCAATGCAGAAGTGGGGATACGACAATGATACCAATGACCTTTGCGACTGTAGAGAGGCTCCTCAGGCAAATGGAACATTATCTTATCTGCCCTCTACTGACAGAGCTCTACAAGCAAGAGGATCTAGAAACCTACAGTGTATGTGACAGAGCCTTTCCCTTGCAGTGGAAGAGTAGAATGTAGAGACTCGACAATAACAACGCAACAAGTCAAATCACAAGTCAATCTTAAGTCAAGGAATGTCTTTGTCCTAGTTCATTTGAATAGTTGGCTGACGATGACTTGTGATAAACTTAGTTAACTCAACTCTAGTTAGTCTGAAAGATCAATTTGGAAAGGCTACGAGTTACCCACAACAAACACTTCAACTAATACTTGAGAAAACACCTTAACAAGGTACCGGTAATTCCAGGTCAAGCCTTTACAAATGATGACATTTTTCACGGAAAAATCATTCCCTTACTTCTTGTATTTATTTAGCAAAGCTGACGACAGGCAACTCAAATACACCTTCAAACTTCCTTGACCTTTTGTTTAGCTTTGATCTTCGGATTTTTATTTTCTGAAAGACAAGAGTGAAGGGCTATTACAGACAGAGGAGACAAACGAGCTGTGGACTGACCAGTTCCTTGAGTTCTTCCCAGAGCTCAATGATGAGCTTGAAGCGGTGTCTGATCTCCTCTGCATCCTCTGGGTGCTCCTCAGCCAACTTCTCGGATTCCTTCTCCAAGGATTCAAGCTGTGGGAGGGGGATAAGCAGAAACCAAATTATAAGCAGGAATTCGCAAGATAAAAGTTTATGGCCTCTTTCCGTGACTCTGCTGGTCATGGGAAAAATCTGCACTAACGCAATAAGCACATGCATATGCATGAGCCTAAATTCATGCTAACATGTGAACCTCACTGTTACTAGGTTTACTGCTTGATTTTTTCTTCTTCATGCATTGCCACTGAAAAGATAAACAGATGTGTCTGACAAGACTACAAGGTTCAGCATGAGGGGGAAAAATGGCAATTCATCATGAAAGTACATTTAAGAGTTTTTTAATAGTGCCGACTATAAAAACAAAACCAATTGGACTTTTTGTGGTCTGAAGAAACAAACTGCTGATGTGAAAGGTCTCATAAAAGGTCCAAGGAAGATACTTTTAACTTTTTTCTAACAAGTGCGAATGTTGGAAGGAAAATAATGACTAGAATTGGGCAATGGGTTTGGTATCTTGAGAGAACAAGTTGGTAGGAGCCTCACCTTAGCATCGATGGCAGCCAAGTCACCTTCCATCCCTTTGAGACGTCTCTGGAGGGCCATGATACCGCCCAGGTCATTGCCCAGGTCCTTGGTGGCCTCCACCAGGCGAGCCTTGTCCTTGATCCAGGTAGTGGTCTCAATGCACTCGATGTGATAGGTCTGGACCTGGCGGACCGAGATGACAGCATCCCGACGCTCCTCCAGGAGACGACGCAGGGCAGCCCAACTGCAAGGAAAGAGGAGGAAAAGTTAGTCAAAATTAGTCCAGGGTGCATAAGTAAGGTCAGATGGTCACCTTGGTGGCCTAAACATATCCTGCAGCCAACTGTTTGGAATACAATGTGCTCTGGGTAACCTTTGACAGAATTAGCGGATCCATCAAGATTAAAATATGTTGCTTAAATTTGCACATAGTTTTTATCTGGATAACTCTTATTATGACTGTGACCTCAAGATATTTATTAATGAAAATCTACGTTTAATCCATGTACTGAATAGAGAATAGTGAATAGCTGTATAAAGATACAAAGAATAAATAGGAAAGGGGAACAAAAATATCATGTTTTAATTCACCGTTGGTTGAGGTGATTCTGCTTGCTGGTGATCTCCTGGGAGTTGGGATGATCCACGTGGAGGAGTTGACGGGCCAGCTGGTTGACCACAGCCACCTTGGGAGCGTTTATCTCCATCTCCTTCTCAAAGCGGTTAAATCGCGTCAGGATGACGTCGTTGGATTCCAGGTCTTCCAGGGGCACCACTGACTGCAGTGTTTGCTCCTACGGGAAATCAAGTGTTAGGGGAAAAAAATAATTTGGTACTCCACAAGAAATTTGTTTTGACATCTCTTATCAGAGTTTGAAAGATGAAGTAGCAACTCATTCAGGCTTTGAGCTTGGCACTTAAGGATCAAGACAGATGGATGCCGGACACATTTATTTCCATTGAATTCAGATCCAATGTCTGAGGCATTCTGATAAAACTTTCAGCAATTGTGGACTACAAATGGCTTTTGATACTTATTAATCGTTTTAAACCACTGATATCAAAAATTATCTCAAATAATTGTACTGATTAGGCACACAACTTTTAGTGCATTAATTTGGTCAATGTATGCCACGCCAGGGCTGCCCGGTGACCGAATGCAGATTTAGAAGAACAATTTGTATAACTTATGAACAAATTTTAACTCAGAATATTTTAAGTTTTTTCACAGATATCATTCCCAGACAAAAACATCCCACTACCTTTTCTAATTCAAAGTTAAAATTTGTATTTGTGCACACTAAAGGTTTTTCCACAAAGCTGAATTCCGTAAAAATGAAGGGTTAAATTCCTTTAGTTCAGTTTCACTTTCTGGTTCCACAGTCGGCGACCTTTGCCTTTACCTTTTCATCAATCCAGGCCTCCACTGTGTCGGCTTCATTGAAGAGCTTGTACAGGGACAAGGCGTCCAGCAGACGCTGCTTACGCAGCTTGGCCAACTCCAACAGCTCCTTGTAGCGCCGGTTGATGGTGCCAAGGCGAGCCTGAACCTCTGGGGAATCACGGTCCTAGAGTAGGAGCGAAATTGGAATGTTTCCATTTTATGAATATGTAACCCAAACCCAACAAAATAAGTTACAGAATGCCAGAGTGCTCTTAACAACTCCATGCACAAGAAACGGTCAGTAATCCTCAACAAATAGAATGCCAACAGCGCCATGACGCTCCTGCAAAGATGTGAACAGGTTTGCGCCCATTTCAGAATAAAACAATCGTTTCTACTTTGTGCTGTACGCACGCACATGGTGTTTCCCACCATCAGCACCATCTTAATGCATTCAAGGAACCCATAGACCACTCATAAGATGGAGTTTGCGTCGGGGTGATGTAAATCAATACAAGGTTTCGCCCTTCACCGACATCTAAACACTGTAAACTCAGTGTGTTACCTCCCGAGTGAAAGTTGGAAAAAATCACTCGGGTGGTATTGATTCCAACTTATGAGTTGTTTAATTGCGGTTCTTGCTGCAACATGTACATCAGATTTGAACCAGCCAACTGATCCCATTAGCTCGGTGGTCGAGTGGTAAGACGTCTGCCAGGCGCGGTTCTACGGGGGGGGGGGGCTAGGGGGGGCTGTAGCCCCCCAAAATTTGGTCTAGCCCCCCCCCCCCCCAAATAAATTCCGTAAAAAAAAAATTGCATTAGCAAAAAGGATTGTGATGTACATGCGAAAGGGTTTCCCCCTAAAGAAGAAATAGCCGTGACAAGGGTGCATTAGTTAATATAGTGTGAATGATTTTAGGATTTTATTGGCGCTCCCCATTGAAAATATGGCATGAGCCCCCCCCCCCCCCCCCCCCCCCAGCTATTGATTTTCGGAGGCCTAAGTGTCTGGGAAAAAATAACCGGGCAACATTTCAGCACGCCTCCCTTAAAAAAAATTCTGGATCCACCGTGCTAGCCCCCCCCCCCAAAAATATTGGTTCTAGAACCGCGCCTGACGTCTGCACTAGAAAGCAAGAGGTCGTGGGTTCGAGTCCCACCCGAGTGATTTTTGCCATCTTTCACTCGGGAGGTAACACTCTGAGTATACAGTGTTTATATGACGGTGAAAGGCAAAACCTAATATTGAGTTAAAGACCTTCATAATCAGCCAGTGACAATGTGTATATTTTACCTGTTCGCCTAGTTCCTGTGCTTGGGCATGCAGACCGTCGATGACTGTTGTGTAGTTCTGTAGTTCGGTTGTGATCTCCTACAAGTAAAACAAGAAACAAAATTAAAACTCACAAAGAACAACTTTAACTCTACAACACAATCAAATTAAAATCACCAACCTATGATGTGATCAGGTTGGAGGCAAAATTTGCCAAGTTGTGGTTATCCAAAACAAAACAGTGTGCGACAAAACAAACTGTAATAACAGGGGTGTGAGTGACCACTGATAAAAATAGCTGAAAACAGCTGAAAAAAGGTGTAAAAATGCTGAACTTTGGAAATCTCCTATACTTTTGTACACAGCAAGTGAGGGAAAAAGCTGGAAAAAAGGGTGAAATCCAACACACAAAAAAGCTGAAATCAGCTTTAAAGCTGAGATTTCACACCCCTGAATAACAAAGTGAACTGCACAATGTTGAATTTCCAACTGATTCCTGCTGAAACCAACAAGTGGTGTTCATTTTCATTGAGTAATTTGGTAATGTGGAAAATGCAGATGCACAGAACACGGCTTATTTTCAAACAAAGGTTAGCTTTTCAACAGGTATTTCTGGCTGTACAAGCAAATAAGGTCAAAGTTAGTTTGTAACTAGGGCAAATGTCGAACACACAAACATAGCTCAAATCACACAAATATGACTATTGACTTTTCCATCAACTATTTCAGGGGACCTAACTTCTGATAATTTAACACTGCAATTTGCCAGAAAAACAAAGTAAATATTGTCTGAAATAAGTGTTTTTTAAAGTTGATTACAAACGATTTTACAATCAACTGCCGATCAATGACGCACATGACTTTATATTTCTTCTATACTGTCAAGATTGGTACTTACACTTGTATTCAAGCTCCTCATATTTCATTCAACTTTTCGTTTCGAATTGTTATTATATTTGAGGTTATTAAGCAAACATAAAACTTAACACAACAAGGAAAATGTTAGGAAAGGGAATAATAAAAAGCAACTCAATGATGGAGAGGGAACTCACTCCAGGCTTGGGATCATCTACATAGACATCCTTGGGAAGGTGGTGTGGGAAGGTGTAGGAAGGAAAGGTGGTTATATATGCATGCTTGGAGTAACTCACAAATATCAAATCAGTAACAAGACCAAAGACTTTGGTGATCCCTTTTGTGGCAAGGATTAAGAAACAAGCAAAGGTTCTCAAGGTCCTGATTTGGCTCAGAAACGAGAGCCTCAGGTTTGGTGCTTGGTTGAAATTTTTAAATTTTCAGCTTTGATTGTTTGAAATTTGTCTATGGCATAAAGTATGCAGGTGGTGGTATTTATGATTTTGAAATTTGTCGCAGTTGGTGCAGAGGTTCAATTCAGTTCTCAAGTCAGTTCAAGAAACAAAACAAATTTGCGACCACCCTTACCAAATGACATCGAAGATTTAAGATTCATTTGCTGGTAAATTGTCTTTAAACCTCACAGTTCCACTTATTTGAGTTTTTCCCCTCATTTTTTGCTTAACTCGTTCGTTGAAGCAGGTTATATCTGTCGCAGGTTACATGTAATTGCACCCTGAATTAACACAGAAAACTGTTCTGGGAAGTTGGAATGGAAGTCAGATAGAAATTATTAATTTGTCCTTATCGTGATTCTTGTTACGATTATTGTATGCCTTTGTGATTATTCACCCCAAAATCCCATGTTTAAACTCCAACACCTCTGCTTAACAGGAAGGCACATACATTGTTGTATGTGTGAATGCACATTAATATCGACTTGAACGGTTATTTCAGTAGTAGATATTTTCGGGAGTACACCTTTATAGGTATCAAAATGAAACGGGGATGAAATGATGTAGTACCTTGTGCTTCTTGAGGAGAGACTCAACACTTGGCTCATCACGTCCGACATCCTCACTGGAGACTAGACGCAGAGTATCCAGCATCCAAGTGTCAACATCATCAGCATCGGCGAAGAACTGTTGGACGACAAACAGATACATGTATATAGTAAGTGGAGTCTGTCTCTAGCATCTCTCCTATCCTTGCATAAAATTACAGGAGAATTGTCCTTCTCCCTGGGTGTACAGTTGTCCAAAGTTCCTCCTCAACTAAAGCCAGCTCCCACTTTGTGCTCCTGCATTGAGAGAGGCAACTGAGGCGAAGTGGCTTGCCAAAGGATACAACATTGGCTAGAAGCTGGATCTGAATCTGAATCAGCAATTAGAAAGACACTCAACAACTGTTTTACACAACACGCTAAAATTCTGACATCAAAAGAGTAATGGGCAATATAGTTCCGCTGTACGCTAAAAATGTTGTTTCCAAAACATGATAAAATCAGAGTTTTCATGGGTGGAGCCATTACCTGGTACATGTCTTGAGCTTCATGGAGGCGGTCTTTGCGCTGTTTACAGAGTTCCTCCAGGCGGGCCCAGTCATCCTTGACCTTGTCGATGCGGGACTGGATCTGGGGTGCTCCAAAGTGCTCTGTGGCAATCAGGTCTTCACCCACCTTGATGTTGGCCATCAGCTGGGCATGACGACCCACCAGCTCGTCCTCTTGAGCCTGGAAAAAAGGAAAAAAAGAGACATCAGGCTTCATTTTAAAATGGTAATCAGAAGTTACAGGGTTTTTTTGTATGCCTTTTTGTTTAATCTCACAGCTGGAGGGAGAGGGGAAGGAATTTACCCTTTGGGATCTCTTTCAAGTAAAACTGCAAAGATTTAGTCTAATTAGACGAAGGGAATTTAAATAAAATTCTCCATTCTTGCAGTTTGTGCCAGAACTAATGCAGGCAGGCAGTGAGTCCTACGCAATTATCACCGGATGCCACCTTCAGTGAATGATTCGAGTCCATACAGGGGAAAGGAACTGATAACTTAATACTAACCGCCAAAAAAAACAACCCACCTTGTGTTTCTTGATGAGCAGGTTGATGCTGGTCAGGTCGTGGCCAATGTCCTGTGAGGACATGATCTGGGCCTGCTCCTTGATCATGTTCTCGTCGTCGGCCAAGTCCCAGAAGAATTGCCAGAGCTTGCGAGACTCGCCCAGCTTGTCCTTGCGGCCCCGGGCCAGCTCCAACAGCTCCTGGTAGCTCTCCTCCAGGTGGGTCATGCGATCAGCCACGACCTGGGGGTCCACGGGTAGGTAGCCTGAAGGAAGGGGGGGGGGAGGGAGCAACAAGCCAGAGGTCAAAGTAACTGGTGAAAAAAAACCTAAGATGGGCAGAGTATACTGTCTGAAACATTGAGTTTCCCTCTCACAAACTCACAAAATAAATTTGTTACATGGTGCAACCGTAAACTTTGTATTGCTATCTTTACCATGTAATCCTTCAAATATTATGTTCCAGGCAATCTCCAAGAAGAAGAAAAACCAAGGCAAAGTTTCATTCTCCAGAATTTTCTCAGGTATTTAAATTTACTGTTGGGAAAATGACCTTTCATTTTCACGAGGGTTCCTTTAGCTTACAGTACCTATTGTCGCCACCAAGTTGCCTGTAAAACTTGGACCATTAGTTTGTGTACATTTCTCACAGTGGTTGCGACTGATACTGACAGATCTTCTGCGGTCACGTGACTAAATGTCATGATCCAATTGGTCAATGTGCACTTTTTGATTGAAAAGCAAAACGGATCCATTGCCTCTTGTGACTTGGAGGATCAAACAAGTCGGTTAATATTAGAAATCACATGTTGAATATTTCAAAAACACTGACACTATGGTCAGACATCTAAAATTTTCTCACCATTTACCAAAGCTGTCCAAAACATGAAAGGGATTTGCAAAGTCACATTTTGTGTGAAGTCTACATGTGGCAGCTCAAAATTGACTGTGCTATTTCACTTTGAACTCTTTTTGGTGTCTAAGTTAACCCTCTGATACTTTCATTCTGGCAAATGTGAATTTGATGGCTACAACTTTGGTTTACACGACAGGCATGCTAAGGCGATGAGCCATAGCAAGGATCACCATTACCTGCTTCCGATACAACATAAACATCCAGTACTCATTCCTTAGGAGTTCTTACCGGATCCATCGGGTCCCTTGGTATCCATGAACTTGGAGGCCTGGTGGTTGACCGTGCCCACCCGGTCCCCATAGCCAGCCACGTCTGCTTCCAGGAGGGCATGCTTCTCTATCAGGTCTTCTACTCCCATCAGATGCTTGCCTAGGTCCTCTGATAGCAGTAGGACCTGTGTGCATGGGGAGAGAAAGAACACGATGTCAAGACTCATGATTGGCTACAGCTTACGATTAACAATGGAGAAATGACTGAAGCCACTTATAAGGCCTTTTCACACTAGACTTTCACACATGTATTGGGGTTGATGCAGGGTTGACGCAGGGTTGAAAACCTGCAGTATTTCACATTTGTAATTGTTCAACCCCGGGCCAACCCTGCGCCAACCCCGAGATTGATTTCGCCCCAGGTTGAACTCAACCCTGCTCCAGACCAGGGTTGAGATTTTCAAACCCGGTTGAACCTCTCGCCAGGGTCCCAAACAGTAGTAACCCAGCGATATAAGCTCAGTTTGCACGAAACAAGTGTAAAACGATATAGGGTTGAACACGGGGATGAAAAAGAAAAAAGTCAACCCAAGGCGGCACTGGGTTTGCCCAGGGTTGAGTTCAACTCTGGTTGAGAGGCTCCAGTGTAAAAAAGACCTATAGACATGTGTGAAACTGTCAGCTGTAGCCAGATAATTCCAACACAGTCTTGTATCATGTCTTGGCTGTCTTGATCGTAAACTGAATGTCACATTATTTACATGGCTCAAATACTGTTTTACACATCTTTTATGTCACAAAGTTGCAGTGCGTCCACTTCAAAATGGCATTTCCCTATCTGGCCAGAAAGCTCAAAGTACACGGCTACACCGAGTGTGAGGTATGCGAGTGTAGTGACAGCAATCAGATTTTGTTATGCCTTATTTTTGATGGGCATTTTTCTTCTTCTCTTTCTCAGCACAATGACTGGTGCCAAAAAGATTTTGACATTTCATTTTTTTTGCCAAATCCCCTCCCCCCCCTCCAAAAAAAGTTGAACGCATTTCAACTGTAGTCAATTTCACCGCAAATATTCTGTAACGCCAAATTTGTTTCACACTTGCATTTACATGACGCATGTAGTGGCCTTTCTAGATCTATTTGCCTCGGTCCTATACAAGAGCAATCTTGCATTTCTGATAAATTGTTTTCTTAGGGACAGTATACCTTGGTTTCCTCCATGGAGTCTAGAAGCAGCAGCATCTCTTGGAAGATTCTCTGGATCTCTAGTGACAGGTCCAGGCGAGCACGGCGTCCCTTCAGCAGCTCTATCAGGTAGTCCCACAACCTCAGCACATTGTCTTTCCTGTAAAAGCCAGGTGATTGGGAAACCTTTATAGCCTGCTAAATGCCCCACCAATGTTAGTGGCGTCACAACAGAGACAATGAAAAGATTGTGGTTTAAGTGGGATATGGGTTTATGTAGACTGAACTCACTTGATATAGTAAATGAGGACAGGCAATGCTTTTGCAGCTTCTGAAAGTGGTTTTGTTGTTAAGCATTTTGACAATGGAGCCTCCCTGTTAACTGATGGGGCTAGTTCTCCAGAATGCATATCGGCAAAACAGGGACTATACTTGCGCATGTTAATTCACTGCACCTGAAAAGCCATATGGACTGACCATTCTACAGTGAAATCTCGATAAGTCAAAACCTGTTAACTCAAAAACCCTTCTAACTCAAAGTAAAAACTTATATCCGTCAATTGTTGTTGAAGAGAAAATCCATTGGATAACTCAAAATTCTGCTTAACTCAAAATTTGAGCCAATTCCCCTGAGGTTTGACTTATCGAGATTCCACTCCAAGTGAGAGGAATTGAGGCCATGTTCGACGTTATTTTTCCTTATAACCATGCAATGATTCTCTCATTGTCTTTATATCTAAATGGCTATTCCAGATAATTAAACAAGTAGACTCTGCATCAAGTGTCAAACGGAGACTGATATGCTGGCTATTCTAAGACTCTCTATCCAAGTGAGATAGAGGTTTTTCTGACCTCGCAATGATTCTCTCAATGTCGTGATATCTCTCCTCCTCCAGCTCCTGGGCCACAGCCACCACGGCCAGCACTCTCTCCTGGTAAGCATAGATGTCCGTCTCAATGGCCTCGTGCTTCTTGGCAGCGGCTTCCACGGCAGGCAGGTCGTAGCCAAAGTTGTCCTGAGCCACCAGACGCTGGTTCTCACTCAGCCAGGTCTCTCGCATGGCGGCCTTGCGGTCAAAGCGGGCGGCCAGCTGCTCCAGCTTCTCCTGACGGATCAGCTCCTGGCGCAGGGACAGCTCCCGCTCGTGTTCGGCCCGCTCTAGTCTCTCCCAGGCCTGAGATACACCAAAATTATCGGGTTTTAGCACACAGAAAGGTGAACGTATCTCAATCTGAGCTTAAACTAGAGTTATGATTGAGTCATCACGAGTTGAATAGTTTGCAGCCAAGTCAGAAGCTATTCAAGTGAACCTCGTCAAAAAGACCTTGTTCAGTCTTGTGCAAGAGTGTGTTTGAAAACGAAAAATCAGATTGTCGAAAAATATACTGCCCTATTAACATGTGACACAGACATTCCTTTGCCTTCCCCTTGTTACTCTGTGTCATGACTTGTGATTGGACTCACGATTACAACTCTACTTTATGTTCAGAAAGTTCATTCTATTCGTGCCAGGCAGGAATGTTAAGACGGCAGTACATTTTCCATAATTCTGATTCTTCGTTTTCAAACACACTCTTGCAAAAGACTGAACAAGATCTTTTGATGTTTACAGAATCAAACCCCAAGTTTCTGTCAACCTCTGTGAAAATACTGAATTCAAAGAACGTTCGTTCTTTGTTTAGGCTGACCTTGTTGATGTCGTGGACCATTTTGCCTTCTTTGGGAGTGAATGGCCGCTGGTTGTTGGCCCTCATCTTACTCTGAATAGTGAACAAGAGTACCTCCAAGTTGCCTTTCTCAACAAACCTGTAAAAAAAATGGTATTTGTCATCACTTATACAATACAATCCACAAGACAGTCATTGTGATAGATTGGGGATATTGAAGGATCTTGGAGGGTTTTGGATTTAGTAGAGAGCAGAGACTTACTTGGGAGGCTTCTCCACGGTGCGGTAGGTGCTGAAGGCCAGTAGCTGCTGTTGTAGACCCTGTAGGTTATTGGAGAAGGTGCGGTCGTTCAGAATCATGATGGTCTGCTCAATCCACTGCAGCAGGTCCGAGGTGATCTTGTCGTACTCGCTGATCAGCTTGTCGTTCTCAATGGCCGTGGAGATGACCTTGCCGATTCGCTTGCTGGAGACGGTCTCCACCTTCATCTTGGAGAAGCAGTGGTAGTAGGTGACCACGTAGGTGATGATGGACTTCTCGTCTGGGTGGTCGACGTTGATGTCTGGTGGGGGTGGAGAGCAAAGGGTGGAAATAGTTTTGAAAACCTTTCATATGTTGCAGAATTCTTTAACTTTTTTAACTAAGAATATTTTGCCTGAATTAGAATCAAAATACTACAACATTCGGTTTGCCTCTCAAACAGACACATTTAGGGCAAATGTATTGGCTGACCATGCACCCAGATTGAACTTCAAGGAGGGTAAGCAAGGACTTAGCTCTGAACTAACAGTAATTACAGCAAGAAATCAGCACAATGATAGGATCTAGTAACAGAGACCAGGAATTTCATAATAAAGTTCAGAAACCTCGAAGGTCAGCCACTGCCAAATTTTTATCCAAGTAATGTCTTGCCAGCAACAAATATTTGTTGCAAACCTGATCTTGCTGGGAGCAAACCGTTGCCAAGTTTTATCCACAGCTTAAATCCCTAAACATACCAAGGCGTGTAACAGGCCAAAACTTGCCATGAGTCAGGCCACATCTGAAGAAATATTGTTTTTTATCTCCCACTGATAAAAGGACTTGTTGTCTCTCTCAAAAAATTTAACATGATCCACTGACCTTCTGGGTCCAGGAGCTTGGACAAGTCCAGCTTCTGCTCGGCCACATTGAAGGCATTGTTCAGGTTGTGGATGGGGTTGGACTTGGTCAGCTTCTCATACTGGATCAGGTCTGGCCGATGCTTGTGGATCAGGGCGTTGAAGGCCAGGCCGTCCCGCCAACTGGTGGTGAAGTTGCGGATGTTGACGTTGGCGTAGCCGGCCGTCTTCATCTGGCACCAGAGCAGGAGGGCATCCTTGGCCGAGCGCGTCTCCTGGTTATCCTCATCTTCAAAGCTGATGTCTTGGATCTATCGGATTGGAAAAGGGGACAACTTCAAGAGGCTGCTAGGCACACAAAAAGATGGAGGCTACAAAAACAGATGACCCGCCAAAATGTCATGTGACATACAGTGCTGGTGACCGGTTCTTGGCCAACTGTCGTTCAGCTTGAAACTTCTATGAAACTGCTATGTGATATTCTCTCCTCAGCAGTGTCATGAATTTAGGTCGAATATAGTAGCAATTATTTAAGTTTGAAACAGTTTGCAAGAAAGAGTTTTCATAAATCATAATGTACATTTGGGCAAATGATTCAAAACAAGAAATATTACTCTAACTAATCTACTTATTTCCCGACTATCAAGGTGTTATCTATTTACCTTTGCAAGTACATGTACCCAAATATTTTCAGAACTGAATAATTCATTACATATTAGTAGGCGGAAATAACTAGCAATAACAACTCGTAAAAAGAGGAGCCTTGGATGAATCTAATCCCAGGAGATTAAGGGTAACATCTGGGGATATGTAATGTCAACCTTGAATTTGTCTAAACTGTGGTACAAAATGTCAACCTTGAATTTGTCTAAACTGTGGTATAACTTCCATGCATTTAATATAAGAGATCGTTGCCATACCATATCTCTGCATTATAAGCAATGTCATGCTGACATATTTAGGAATCTGTCACTTGTCTATAGCTCCTGCACTTACCTGGAAGCGGAGAATGATGGTCCAGATCAGACCGAGGGTCAGGCGGTGGCTGCCGTCAGTGATGTCATGGGAGCCCATGTTCTCCAGATGCACCCTCTTCTCCTTCAGGAACTGGAGGGCTTTGTCAACGTTCTCTAGACAGTGGATTCGCATCTTGCCTTTGGTTGGCTTCGGCTGGAATAACGATGACAAAAAAAGAATGCAGAAATATAATTATAATTACAAAAGTGATGAGAACACTTGACAGAGAAAAAAATCAAAGAAGGCATTTTTTTTTCACGACACAAATACGACGAATGGAGAAAATTAAGGAATGACTTATTATACATGTACCGTAACAGTGCACTTGTCGACACAGAACATGTGTTGTTTACGTAATGTTTCCATTTTCAAACGCTGCTTTATGCATATGATTTTGAGTGTGAAATTTCTTCCTCAAAGATGGAAAAAAAGTTACTTGATCAAAACAGTAATAGCGGAAACGGAACTGTAAAGGCTAAAGAACTTTTTGAAAGAATCCAAATAGGTTCTAAGGTTCTTGGGATCAACTTAGCCCCTAATTGGGAACCTGAACAAAAAAGTAATGGAAACAAGATCATTCCCCCCCCCCAGACATGCCAGAATTTAACTTAACACATAACATTGTTGAAAAACACTCTCCAGCTAGATTTATACTTTTTGATGTACCGTGCTCCAACTTTCCATTTACTTGCAAAGTTGAACAATGCAATCCCTTGATAATACTCTGGATTCTTGCCTAATAAGATGATCTTTTGGCCTTTGTAGCCTGTAACCTGTGCAACTATCCATCAACTAAAACCCAGCGCTATCCCATCCTACCAAAATACAAATCGAATCACTAATGTTGCTACATTTAGCATTGTGACTTTGGGCGTGATCCCTGGCTACATGGCATATATTTCGGTTTATGGCTTCTGACTAGCGCCCCTGGAACAAAGACATTGACAAGTTGGGGAACAGCCAATGCAGGGCTGGATAGCTCAGTTGGTAGAGTACCCCAATGTCAGTCCGGAGGTCGTCGGTTCAAACCCCCCTCCAGTCAATTTCTTTGTTCAACTTTGAAAAAAAATCACTATAAAACTTTTTAGTTTCACATGCTCTGTTCAAGAATGTTACCCTGACAGATATTGGAAGCCTTAAAGGGAATATACAACATTTGCTTTAACTGTATTAATTTTTCAGAAATGGATGGATTTGGGGAGTTAGTATTTTATAGTAAATTGTGTTACACTGACTTGTTTGAGGTTTTGTGTTCGTAGATGCTGGAAAAACCAAGAAAAACAATCATGTTCCTGTAGTCTAGTTCCCTGACCCAACTAAAGATAAAATGGAGCTATTTATAGAAGTCGGGGCATTGTAAGGTCAGGGAACCAGTCTAGCTGGCTTGTACCCGTTCATAGGTGTGTCATCGATTGCAAACAAAATGCAGACTAACTAAATATGATAAATTGGGGGCAGTATTGAAACAAAATTTTTTTTTAATTCCAACCCGGGTCGGCTGACCAGTGTTGGAAATTGATACAAAAATACCACTTTTCATGAAAATGTCAGCACACCAGTTGCCACGATTTTACAGGATGTTTTAGACTGTCATTCATCACTGACACAGTCCAGTAAGGTATTTCATAATAATTTGGTAGTTTTGTTGTTTGATGTCTGCAAATGTTGTATATTCCCTTTAAAATTGGGGAGTCAGGTTGGCGTAGCGGTACTTTCCTCGCCTTCCACCGCTGTGACTCGGGTTCGAATCCCGCCTGGGCCAATATGTGGATTGGGTTTTCAGTCCCTACCTGATTCCGTGGGTTTTCCCCAGAATATTCTCCTGGGCTTTTCCTCCCACCTCTAAAACTGTAATTTCTTCTCATTGTCTTCTCTCCACAGGTTTCTTCAGGCTTGCGAGCTACAGTGCCTAGGGCACTTTTGAGGAATCCTAGGTTTCATTACCAAAAATGATTAATAATAAATGCCAAATGTGGCAATAAAATGTTTGACGGTTGGCCATTTGACTGCAAAAAATCCAGGTAGGTCAGGTTACAGTAAACACACAGTTTTTTTGGCTCAGGCAATGTCACATGCCAACAAAAATCAACCCAGACTCGGTCACAAACAATACAATACCATTTTCAAATGATGTCAAAAGAGTGGCATTTGACAATAAAGCGCCACAATTCTGCAATTAAAATACCATCACAGTTGTGTGTGTACGTGCATAGTACACTTGAACCGGCAAAAAGCTATTTGTATATTTGGTTGATATTCTAATATTTGAATATTCAAGACAGCCCTACAGCAAGTACTTCCTGTTCTTGGCAAATTTCTATGCTGCCGAACTCAAATGAAATTGTACCCTGATAAAAATGCCTAAGTCCTACCCTTATTCAACCTAAACCTGAAGACACATTCTCAAGTCTATATGCACACTAATTCGCTGAAGCGAAATCTCATGCGGAATAGCATTTCGCTGTGATCGGCGCTTGTAAACAGCACCTGCGACATGACATCCGACCGACCGACAGCACGACAGACAGACTTGTTGTCAGGCAACCTTAACTTGTCAGCAACCATTTCAACACATCTAATGGGAAAATGCATTTTGCAGTGGGGCCTTTCAAAGGGGTAACTACATTTATCTGCTTTACATAAAACTGGTTGGCGAGTATGAATACATTTAGATGTACCTCCTAGTTAAACAAAATCTGGAGTTGCCTTGTTCCTGTTTTGCTTTGAAAATTTAACAATGCCAATGTACAGATTTTGTCAGTCCTTTTATTTTTTTTTTAAATTAAATGGCAGGGAATCATGTATGTTTCAGCAAATAAAATTTGCGATTAAAAGATTTACCTAATGTCAATTCATTTATGAACAAGCATTCAAACATTTAACAAAACACTTTCTTCATGTCAACGACTAAGTCATTTAATGACGCTAACATAAAAACAAGCCAGTTCACAATTTCCAGAGATAAGTGTATCCTTAATTGTCAGCGTTACTTATTACATCTGAGGCAGTGACTCAATTGCTGGCTGGCAACTGCAGCTAATTTGTCTGGTGTGAGGAGAGGCTAAGGCATGCATAATGCTGGCTGCACATCATGACCGTGGGCACACATACACACATCGAGAGGTGACGTGTACAATGTAACTGTGTGGTGTGTTCTATGTGTGGGTGTGACGCCGACGTCGGGGCAGGGACCATGAAATTTGAAAGCAACATGAAAATGGGTTAATATGGTGCATGCTGCGCCACGTTGTGCTATGCATTTAGATTAGGATATCATGCCGCTCAGCTGGAGCTCTGTGTTTAGGCTGAGGCTGACAGAAATCTAGGGCGGTGTGTTTTCTAATGGACACGTCCATATTTTGATGCTTTCCCCATCCAATACGGAGATTCAATTTGATAACAGTCATCATTAAAAAAAAGAAGAAAATATCCTATTTTTTCTTTGCGTTTGTTATTCACAATGCATTTTTTTGCAGAAATTCATTTCTACTGTGATATTGTAAGTATCTACTTTTGACACTTGATTTAATTTAACATTTGAGTAACTTTTTCAGAGCTCGATCAAGAGTTATTATCTGCTAATACCCAATTAGTTAACCAATTACAAAATATTACAATGAGCAATTAAAATGACTTATTCACATCAAACCCCTGAAAAGGTCGGACATGCAATGTGTTTTTTTCTGAAGACAATTTACTAGTCATGAATATTTAATCAAATCCGAAGATCGAGGATGATCGAGGCTTCCTCACCAACGAGCGTTTTCCGCTCATTATACATCACCGTCCCATCACCTTCCCTCCTGGGACTAGACCTATGGGGAAATATCATGGTTGAATGATAATGCTATGCAAGGGGCCCAAATGCAAGGGATGTACATGTACACATGTATACTGCTCACGAGACACACCCCCGTGTATTTTCTGCATGTGCCTATGGATAGGCCTCACTGCATGTACACGTATAATGTGAAGATCACGCTTGACATGTGACAGCGAGTTATGTTAACTCTTTAATACCCAAGCATTTCAAGCACTTTACAGAATTACAGTACTCAAGCCTCCTATGCAAATATACATTCTGTGCCAAGTTGTCCTTGCAGTCAAAATATATCAAGTGACTGTTTTCAACAGTTAAGAGCTCCCAGCCTACATAAAGCAGGATTGACTGGCTATGGCTGTTTAAGTAACTTGATACAGCTATGCTTTGACTCCGGGTGAGTGACAAAACAGCTGTGACCACAACTTGCCTGCTTTGTCTGTTGACCCAGTTTGACTAGTCACAGCGCTTGCTTGATATATGACCTGACTGCTGGTGACTAGCCTTTGTTAGAAGTATAGCAGGGGAAGTGAATTTTGACGGTCTGTGACTGTTTATAATAGCGGGAGGGTTAAAGTAACTTTATGGTACAATCTTTGCAAAATTGGGACAGTAAATTAATAATTGCTGGGCCATTTAGTATGGAGCAAATCTACATAGTAGTCAGTTTTTTTTTCAGATTCAAGGTGACCTTAGTTGTATTTTTTCAAAGGGATGTTTGCATTTTCTCTCTTAATGCGGACTCCTCAGTTACATGTACAAAAGTGGGAATTTTGTGTATCATTTAAAGACCCTTTAAAGGAATGTTTTGGGAGATCCATCAAGAAGTCTGAAAAAAGGAAAAATACACCAACTTATAAAATAAAATAAATGGATAACTAGTCATCCCTGTAGTCAGCTAAATTAATACTACATGTCAAATGAAAATCCTCAATACCATTACATTTTTTATTATATTTGATAGTACCTACATGTAACATTAAAATTAAAAGTCTATATTACTGATAAATGCAAGAAAGAAAATTGTTCCATCAAATTTTTTTATTAATACATGCAGACATGTGATAATGCAATGTGGCTGTAAGCCCTTGTGAATAGCAGGTATCGTGACTCCCTACAGGCGTTTACATGAACAGACAATTTTATGACGCAATACAGAAACAAGCTAATGCGATGAAAAAAAAAAAATATTTGTCTGACATTTTGTGGATGAAGGATGGCTCCATACATGCAAATTCCGTGAACAGATCAATTAAACTAATACGACTGACTAATTTAATAATAATAACAATCCTGATTTAGACTATGTACAACAGTGTTTGAACTGATAATGTAAACATGCATTAATTAACACAACTACATGTATTTACAACGCGGGGTATGGGTGGCTGTCCTTGTATTTCCATAGCTATTGATTCCGGCATATTTGCAAGTCGGCACGATATTTTATGCGCAGACATCATGCCATTGTCTATGGCTCCTGATTGCCTGTGCATGCGATGTGTCACTCTCATCTCATTAGAATTAGACCAAGGTCTCTCTCTAAAATGGCAAATGCAGCACAGCACTGCAATGCTATGGTTCATGAGCAACGGTGGTTTTAGAGAATTATGTAGGAACAAAAAGCGAACAATCGATATGCGTGATGCTGTTGTTCTGCCTCCCCAATTACGACCTCCAAAAAAAAAAATTAATGTTTATATTTTATAATTATAAATCTAAGTTTAAAAAAATGCAATGATATTTCTCAATCTCTTGATAAATTCTCTGCTTCTCTTGATACATACATGTACATGTTTGTTTTATGTATGATTATTACAGGCATTTTAACCCTGCATTATCATGTGTATGAATAATACAGCTAACAAAGTGTGAGTTTTGTTTTTAAAAAAATGAGACGAAGGATCAAATTGCACATAAGACAAGGAAAGTCAAAAATCTTACTGCTTTCAAAATCTCAGAATTTTGTTTAGTATGCTTTAATTGTAAGCAAAATGGGACAAATTAATTTTTGTGCAAAGGATTTGTAGAAATTTGTACTTTGGTTCAAACGAATAATACAACTTGAAAACTAATATCACTGGATGATTAAAAATTCAAAATTTGATATTGCAATAACCATGAATTTAATCCCATTAAAGGGTTGGTCATCCTACCAGGGTCTCTGATTGAAAATTAAGGTTTGACGTAAACCCTGGGAATGAGGATGGATATGTTCAATTACACCAAGGTGTAATGTGACTGCATTTTGAGACGGGCTTATCATCCATGTGCCAAACAGGCTGCCAAGCCCAGCATTGTGAATACCTTTAACCTTTTTCTACCAGCACCATCAGCAGGGGACTTGTCCTTTCTATCACCTTGAACTGGGCAAGGTCAACGGCTACAAATATGTGCATGCATAATGGTGGCACTGCTGGCAGGTAATGCTATGCCTGGCCTGAGGTATGGGTGTGGAGATCAAGCACATCATAGGCCTATCATGTGTACACCGCACATCTCAAGGGAATCCAATTTTTAAATGTAATTATTTGGGGGGGGGGGGGGCCTCTATACATGATACATGTGATATGACTTGTTTTTTTTTCAAATTTAATTTCACTTATTATTTTCCCATTTAGATAAAGCCAGAATGCCATTAAAGCTAATGCATGCGAGGCATCACATTCACCACTGTAGGCTATAGGAATCCTCAGGAATTTTTTTTTCCAACAGTTTATTAATGGATATTCCTCAGAGCATTACACTGAATTATAATTTTTGTGTCATTTTCTTTTCGGATTAGCTGGAATACGTTACCTACTATAAGTTGCAAAGTATCACGGGCTCTTACTTTATTCACAATTTGAATTTGTGATCTGTGTTTCCTCTCCATGAATTTATTCTAGATAGAAAATTGGGTGTTTTTTTTTTAAATGACAGATTAAATTTCATTTGGAAAAATGACAGAAAGAACGCAAAAAAATAAAATCCTTGCACTGACCCAAAGGAAGAAAACCTGCCTTGTCCAAAGCAACCCCGCCCTTTAAAAATATTATTTATTTTTACAAAACAGTGTCAGTGTCAGACATTTACGACTTTTTAAAAATATCTCAGTGACCACTTCCCTGGAAGACATTACTGCATGTGAATGCTTAAAATAAAGAATTCCCCCAACAAAAGAAAAATACAGCCCTATGGCACATCATTCTCTCCCGGGTGTATTTGAAATTCTTGGCAAAGCCCGTTGGTTCTGAGTCTAACTGCCATTTATCCAGCCTGGTAAATTATGCATCGTGCCCTGGTTCACACAGGCCTGCTAGGTTGTAACGCTCTGTACATGGGGCCCTTACATGTATTTAATGGGAACGCCTACAACTGCTGAATTGCAGCAGAATGAATCACACTCGCAGCGGGTCTCTAAGACTCACTTCAATAAAGGGCTGTACAACGGATTGCATAAGATGGATTATGTAACAATGAAATGTAAACACACACTCTCTCTCCCTCTATACTCTAAAAAAAAAACCCACCTAATCCAAATGCTGGCCCCTGCATATTACTTCCCATTATAAGATATAATCATGACATAACTAACTCTTAACTGCCGAAATCCTCCGCGATCCACTGTTTGTTTATCAGTATGATCGATTCTGCTATTCAGGACAGTGCAACCAAGAAACTATTACTTGACATGCAGCTCAATGTCTCAATTTTCTATAATGAATTGTTAAATTTTATCAAATAAAAATGACGCACATATTTATTATATTTATATCATACAGTACAGACCCTAATATACTATGTCTTTCATGTGTCATCTTCAGCTTTTCATGCAGTTGATTTTGAAGGAAAAGCCTGCCTGATTTCAGACAATCGATGTAGAACATACGTGTTTACAAGCAATGTCACTCAGTATTGCGTTACATTTTACGTAACACAGATACATGACACTCCTCATGAATATGGTCCGAGATAATTCCAATCCAAAATTCAAGGTCAAAAGCGAATTGAACAAAAAATAGCTATCATATTCAAAGACATGAAAAATATCAATTGGGTGGTGCCTTTCGAATATCCGCCCACTGCAACAGGGATCAAAGACCAACCATTTTGGAAAAACTATGTATCACATGTCTCTATACTTGAACAAAATACGGACTAGTGAGACCAGGATACAGTGATATGGATACATTCTGTTTGTCATTTTTGAAACCAATATCTTGGTTGTATTATCATAATAAACATTCCTCACAAGCCTAAGCCGTGCTTTGACACCCCCAAGGACAGTTGCCCATCTGCCCTGAAGTTTAAAAACATACTTGTGAAGGCACAATGCTCAGCATATCAAAAATACTTCCTGGGATTTAAATATACATTTGCAGCCCTTCGTCTGGTACTGTTTATCATTAAAATGACATGCACTACAACTGTGGCATGTTTGTCATGACAATGTTTATCAGACGGAGTCTTCTTCACATCAACCACCTTGACAACTGCACGCAAGATTTTGAAAAGCTCACGAGATGTGCCACTTTTTAATTAAAAAACACATGGAAGTATGGGGGAGTAAAGAAGAATTAAAGGGACCAATTTGACAAGAAATCTTAAGTTGGGAAAGGCAACGCAGGAACTCCTGGGCCCAATTTCATGGAGGGGCTTAACATAAAATACTGCTCAGCAAATCTTGTGCTTAGCAAAAATTGGCAGAGTACCAGTCAACAGCAATACACATGGCATGAGAACTGTTTTTAATAAGCAACTTTCTTCTGTGCTAAGCAAAAATTCTGTGCTGAGCAGCCCCTTCAACCCTAACCTCACCTAAAGCTACAAAATACTACTAGAAGTAAACTTGTAGTATGAAGTACTTCAGCATATAAGTGGGCATAGCACTCATAGTATTTTCTGGTATTTTGTACCTGGGAACATAATGTTTGTAGTACTATGTAATATGTGGTAGTTTACCCTAAATGAACTTTTATTAAATTGACCCCTGGTGTAATTTCTAATAATCTGCCTTATTAACAAGATTTAGTTGATTGTTTTTGCAGAGGGTGATTTCTGTCAAAAGTCTGGTTTCCTTACTACCACAAATGACAGGAAGGAATAAAGGAATGTGACAAAAAGCTGTTGGTCTGTCCAGGTTTTAACCCAGGAGATTTGTGTCTCCTCTTCTAATATTATAATTAAAATAATTCCAACTCACAATACTGTTGAAAGTCTAAACATCGCATCACTATAAACATGCTCTCTTATATAATTTTGTTTTTAGCAAACTGAACAGTTTACACATCATGCCTACCACCAAAATATAATTCTTTGAGAGCTGCCTAAAGTTAAAGCTTATGGAAAGGAAAAAGTTCCTGCCTGATTCCATGGGTTTTACCAAGAATGTTTGCCTGGGGTTTTCCTCTGACCTCTAAAACTCAACATTATCTTCTCACCAAAAGTTTCTTCAGGCTTGCAAGCCACAGTGCCTACAACTAAATAATAATAAATTGTTATTGTTACTTTGGGCATAAAAACTCACCAGTCTTTCTCCTGACAGGACCTCCAGGAGCTTGATGAGCATCCTGCCGTCCCTCAGGTCCGTGTACAGGTTGACGATGCGGCAAGACACCCGCTGGAGATGGGAGTTGACCCACTTGGTAAAGGTCTTCTTCTGTACCATCTCACGCTCATCTGGAGAAAAAAAAAAACAAATAAAGAGCATGGTTTCCAGATTGCAACGAATCTAAACAGCAAAGATTTAATAAAAAAAAACCAAAAAAAAAACCACACACATTAGCTCAATGTCAAAGTTGTGGCAAACAAACGATTCTTGTTCAAGCGTATCCAACTTGCTTGAATTCCGTGCACCTTTCCTGAATGAAAAAATTGCAAACATGGTAGTACCAATACATGTAGACGACCCCCTGAATGAAAAAAAATTCGAACATCATAGTACCAATACAAGTAGACGACCCCCAAGTAGGGTCCTTCTGTCTGATTGCAATGAAAATACTTTAGCATCCATTTCTCTTGATGATGTAAAACGAAAGGGGAACTTGAGATCAAAGTGGATCAGAAGTTCACAGCCATTCAAAATTCCAAGGTTTGGTGAACATAGTAGCATTCCAACGATCATGACAACTGCTTCACCAGACTCCACATTATCAGTCCTTTGGTGATTAATTCCCCTCGCTAATCTCACCTTGCATGTGCGCAATCACTGACTCCATCTCGTAAATACCCCCGTCTTCCCTTTCAATTCCTACAGTTACATCCTCCACAGCCGATAGCTAATTACGCGGCGATCGGGATTCTGTCATGCCAAATTTCACATGACGACAACACCGGGCATTGCGATGGGTGTCTGTAAGCCCCAGCTTTGGCGCGGGGAGGTAACGCAGCTCCAAACAGTGTGCTGCTGGTGATTGCTTTTCCATGAGCACACTAAATTTGGTTCAGCGCACACTTGGGATTTTTCATCCATCAATCAGCTGTAAACTTATTTACCGATCCTGTATCACATCAGACACCCCGTAATTCCGTAGCTTCCATTCCTAACCCAATAATTATCCATTACGGTCTGGGATAACATTTTACCCATACGACAACTGGCTCCATTTACAACCCATGTAAATTAGACAGCGGCAACTTGGAATGAAGTAATTCAATTAGATATGCGACTATTAAATCATGAGATTCAGAGGGTAACACACAAGGCCAGGAATAAAATGTTACTTTTTTTGTATGTGTATTGCTGTGGGGGGAAAACAATGAACACGGTTGGTTGAATAGAGGAAATGATGTTCAAATACCACAGAGGAAACTTCAAAATTAGGTTAGGACATCAGTTCAAGGTGTGATACTGGAAACTGAAGTTGTGGTGTTGGTAGGGGAGTAAATTTAGTAACGACATCACCCCCCTTTTTCCTAAATATCATGAATATTGTGAACTATTTCACAAATTTAACATGTTCGATATTGGTCCTGAGCGTTTTCAACAAATATACAGTCGAGTCTCGTTAATACAAACTCGTTCGGACCAAGCCAAATTGTTTGTTATATCAGAATTTTGTATTAAGAGGAACATCGGTCCCATTCATTGTTCACATAAATGCACAGTCAGGACTAAGGCTTTTTGTTAGTTAAAACCAGAATTTTGTATTAACAGAGTTTGTACTAACGAGATTCGACTGTACTTATATGACTAGCCACCATCTTGACATACCAGTAACTAAAATTTGGATCTTGCATTAATGCAAGATCTCAAGTGAATAAAGACACTGTTTTTAGTTCATTATTGCCTAATTCATTGATAATTATATAGACAAATATATCTCAATGATTAAAATGATAAAATCCATGAATGAGGGTACTGTACCAACCTGTACAAGTTCTACTCTGTAACTAGCACTCCTTGTAGTGGAAGCAAACTACTTGAAATTATATACCTAAAAACACAACTGAAATGAGCATAAATGAAAAGAGTCCCGAAACATTCAAGGATTTGTTTTGCTTTCACCCACCTGCAAGTGCCTTGATGCGGGAGCGCTCAAAGAGCTTAGCTCCCCCTGCATCGTCTGGCTCTATATCCATTTGGACGTCGTTTTCCACCATGGCTGCTGATTGACCAGGCCTGGCGGGGGACTAGATGCGGGCTGCAGAAAGAACAAGTAACAATTAGTCTATAACTATTGTCATTATGGTGGTTGAAGACATCATTGTAAAAAAATGGCAACAAAACAGAACAGTGAATTTAGTCCCTAGGCCCTTTTTGCTAGGAACCTTTACTATTGCTGATCCCCGACTCTGGAATGAACTCCCAACTGACATCAGGCAGCAACACAATATCACTAGCTCAAAGTCGAAACTGAAGACCTTCTTATTTCGAAAGGCTTTTAACATGTAAATTGACTCTGTTGGATTTTAAATAAGTGGTCAGTAGGCCAATAGCATTAAATTTGACATTTTAAAATTTTCAGTTATTTAATTGAATGGAGATTCCTCTTTTCAAAGTTAACAGTTTATGGGGTTTTAAATGAGTAACTTGTATTTTATCTGTAGTATTCACGTACCGGTTTATCTTAATGATTTGACTTGATTGTTGTAGGTTTTCGTGTATTTTTATTGAATTTTTAAATAACTTAAAGTCTTATTGTTCTTATTGTTCGGCGCATTTGATCAATTTTATTTGGAAAATGCGCGGTAGAAATGTTTATATTATTATTATTATAACCATCCTCAATCCTCCAAAATCCACCAAAATTGTGTACCTATGTTCAAATGAATGATACCCAGCGCCTCAATCCTTAAAAAATGTCTGACAATCCTGCCTCAAAAGATGCATTCGTCCTCAATCCTCCAAAATCCTCATATCTATGCTAAAAAATCCACGTGTTTCAACACCATTCAACCTCAATCCTCCAAAATCCTAATGTTTCTCAAACACCATTCGTCCTCAATCCTCCAATTAGATTGAGGTGGGTTAGGGTTAACCCATTATCCCAATATCAAAATGATATTGTAGCATTATGACTTTTATCTATTAAAAAACATGTGCAAGGAGAAACTGGCTATTAGCAAGGTTCATCATATTATTTCTCAGTTTACAGGACTTTCTAGAACAGGATTAAAACATCTGTGATCTCAAGAACATCTGTGATCTCAAATGACACTCTACCAACTGAAGTATTGGTTCATTTAATGATTTAAAATGAAGACATTTTATCTCTGATTGCCATTTGCCTGGGGTCCCCCCCCCAAAAAAAATTCAATCAAAATGGTACATGTATTACTTGATTTTTTTTTACATATACTGAAACAAATTATCCAACATAAAACTAACACAAAGGACATAGCATAAGTTTATAGGCATTTTTCCCCCTTCAAATTCAGACTAAATCAACTATGTAATATGGACAGTGTTCAAAGATGCGTTCCTCGTGTATTTTTGAGTTTCGCCTCAAAAAACAGATTTTTTTTTTAATTGCTATTTTCTAGAAATAGAAACGTTAATCACTTTTGAACGAGGAAACATCGAAAGAAAAAATCCACCGCAAGGCGGGTTCATTTGTGCGCAAAACGAAAATCCGTTTTCAGAGGGTTGCAGATACTATGGCCAAAGTCTGCATAAAATAGTTTTTTTGTTCATTAATTAAAACAAAACATACAAATGGCAAATTCGTTGGTTTTTTGTTTGTTTTGTTTTTAAAGATTACCAGGGCATACATCTTTAAAGCTACAGTCCATCATTTGTAATTTGTGCATTTTGTTCGTTTGAAGCAACAAAAGAGTTCAAAATCTAATGAAGGATACTGAGCAACTAACCTGATGAAGTTTCAGCTAAGCTTCAGCTGTACATTCCGAGAAAAACAGCATTCTAAGATCTCAATTTCAAATCCAAAGTTACTGAATCATGTTTTGAATTGTTTTGAATTGCAGCTATACGCGACGTCGCGCACTGATCCGACGAATTATAACAACCGCGCGCGCGTGTGCGTCGTTCCAATACTTGTGCGCGCTGCGCTGAATAACAAAACGAACTACTAATTTAAATTTTCCTACGGTGCTTCTTAAGAATCACCGTTGGAAATGCCTTCTTTCGTTGATTACTTCAAAATGACAGCTTCCCAGAAAGAATAATTTCACAGGGAGTTTAGTCCCCTTACTATCTTTCAACCAAGTTTGTTTTTCAACAATAATTACGCCAGTTACTTTTCGGATGGCTGCAAATGATGGACTATACCTTTAAAAGAAATAGTGGTGTGCATTTACGGTTAGTATGAAACACGGATATCCAGGTACCCGTAAAAGAAACCCAACCCCAAACTGAAATCTTTCGCGAACGTCGTTTGTCGCACTTTGAAATGCACAAAAACGTGAAATCTGTTTAGGTTTTTCAATTAGAAAATTTTGAATATTCCCCACAAAGAGCAAAATTCTTTTTCATTGTCTGAGAAGTAACTATGTCATTTGTAAAATTGGTTACGGGTACCCAATCCCAAAATCTGGAACCGGTTCCAGACATCAGTGGTTGAAAACTCGGGTACCTGACTCCGATACTAAACCACCCATAAAAAGAAACAAGCCTTTTTCGTCCATCAGGCAACAAAGCACACAAAAAAAGAAGTTCTGGTTCCACTTTCAACTGGCAATTCATCGAGGGCACTGTGCTATGGACATAAGAACTATTTTGAACACTGATTGGGCTTATCCTGTTCCTGTAGGAAATACTTAACTTCCTCAACGAGCGTTATCACTTCGTAAACAGCACTGGTCAGAGATACATGTATATTGTGTTCACTAAATTTTGATACACATTGTACACATTGCTGCCAACTTTTCAAAATCACAAGGAGTAATCAACCTGCGCAGTCATTCAACTGCGCATATACTAAACATAACAGTGCATGTACCAACTTTTTTTCTCTTTTTTTTTCAACATTTAATTTTTTAATAATTTATTTGTTTACTGTCTGTATTTTGTTTGTTGAGGTCAAATAAATAATAACAATAATAACATGTGCGCACATTTTTTTACATGCTATCGATGTTGAGTTTCGAGTTTGTATGTTTTTACACACGTTAGGGCTGCCGTATGCGATAGAAATATCCCGCCGACATACCTTACAAACGCATGCTGTTTTATCTTTGCAAAACACTGTGATAAACCCAAGCTCTTTCAATACAAATGTGCTTGTCACTATAAAAATGTCCCCTTTTTTGTTGCCTTGGAAGTCATGAAGATGTCACATAAAGTTTGAAAAACATTTGTGAAAACTACAAACATGATGAAAACTTTGACACACATGGCAATGTTTTGGGTGCCATCTTGAAAAGCGAGTGTATGACACACACGCTGGTTCACCCAGTCATTTATTACACATATAATCACGGCATTTAATGAACAATGTAAACGATTTTGAGGAACTTTGTAATAAAGGCTGATAAACTTTAATCTGAATACAACTCGTATTTTCGTAATGATTCCAGCCAAATCTGAATGGTTGGCAGGTACAACAAAAAAATGTATGTGTTCATTCATCATCCTCCCTTGAAGTGCCTTATTTTTTACATTATACATTTTTAATAATGTGCCAAGTTTCACGCTTAAGATACCGGGTACATGTAGGATCATTTGCATTAATCCCAAGAGCATTAATCCCAAAAGTAACCACAACAATCATTTTCTAAAATCTTACTTGGATTAAAGATCTAACTGGAACTGGTCTGTGAAATTATTCCGTCTGGCTGGCTTTCACTTAGAAGAAATCAAGAAATGAGGGTTATTTCCAAATATCAGTCAACTGAGTGATCTTTGGAAATAAAGCGTGCTATCGACACAATCATGCTCCGTGACCAAAAGGTTGTGAATGGTTTGTCACTGTTTTCTCTAATAGTGTAATGTCCACCGGGTTAGGTTTTGAACATTATTCTTTGGATTTTGAGTGACGTTATTATTGGAAACAAAACTCATGAAAAGCAAATAATCCTATGTGTACACGAATGCCTTTAAGTCCAGTTGGAATTTTTTTCAGGGGAAAAATCTCCATATCAATATGGTAACCTAAGCATGACAAATTGAAGCTCTTTTACATCTATGGCCTAGTTCACAGGTATTCAGACTGAGATCATAGAGTGAGTCATCAGACTGTAAGCTTTGTGTTACTCTAACCCACATTGTTACTAACAATAACGTTTTACCTTGAAAAGGACCTTCAATAAGGTCATCCATTTTCTTTTGTATACTCCACAGGTAATCCCAGTACACCTTTTTAGTACTCAGTGGACTGGGGTTGGGTAATGAATATAACACAACTTACTCACTCAAACTAGCCTCAAAGTGACAAAGCTTGAAATTGTACATATTTCACTGCACTTACCCCCAGGCCCTTTATGCTGAGAACCATCCTAAATCCTCCCAAATTTCTTCCAAATAAATCCTCCAAAATTTTGCATTATGTTCAAAAGCAGGATACCCACTGCCTCAATCCTTCAAAATCCTCCAACAGCCCTGCTTCTCAAAATGTATTTAGCCTTAATCCTCCAAAATCCTCCTCTTCTTCAAACACCATTCAGTCTCAATCCTCCAAAACCACCCGGAGGACTTTGGAGGATTGAGGAAGGTTAGGGTTAAAAAATGCTTGTTATGCTTAAATTTACCCCTCGTCAATTAAGCTGGTATACCAGACAATCATGAACTTTGACACTGATCCCAAGGGCAAAATAATGTTTGTACATGATAATGTAGATATTTAACATTCCATTTGGTATGTCAAAACCATATAATACTGTGCTTTCAGAAGAGATTATTCTTCATAGGGAACTTGTTCAGGTAAAGGCACAAGTACATTGTACATGTGCATGGTACATGTACATGTATGCTGGACTATCTGTACATTCGACACTGTACATTTAACAGTCACTGAAAATATGCTGTACAATACCGAATCAACTTTCAGATGGGAATACCCATTGCTATTTCATCAATTCCAAAAAAACGAGTACCATAAATTGTGCAACCTTGGACTTTGATCAATGACCTTTTGACAAACAAACAAAAGCAAGGACAATTTGTCTAGCAGATAAAGGCAATCGGCTGTGGTCATCAACAAACACACAAAGCTAACAACTTCAGCTAACAATTTCCACACCTTTCAAAATGTAGTCCCGCACAGCTCACGTGGGTACCTTTTCCGCGCCATGGAAACGGACAAAATGCCATATTTACTATAACTGAGAACAATCTTCAGTAACTCTTAACTTTGTATGATTTGTGAACAGGTACATGTAGTCACCACATCACAAGTGGGTTAATACTAACAGCTTGAGAATTGTTCTGGACAGTAACAACCAAATAAATCCCATACACTGCGCTAAGATTTTGGGCAAAAAAAAACACGTCAACTCAAGCTCAAGTGAGTTCCCTTTCCAGCCATGCAAACTTGCAAAATGTCGTCTGTATCAAACGAAAACAATTCTCATCAAAGAGCTTCAAACAAGTTGACTTTTAACAGCGCCGATTCATTTTCCTCGTGTTGGCCTACTCTTCCCTAGGCTGTACGGTGCCTATCATCTTGCAGAATGTTTTAGTAGAGTACTGAGATACCCAGAGACTGTCAGCTACATGTACATGTGTGTAATCCCCCTATAAAAGGAAATGTGGTCAAGTATCCCCTCAACAGTGAAAGATTAGAGACCGAGCATTTGCCACTGTGAGCCTACACTTAACCCTAACCTCACCCAAAGCTACAAAAACTACTAGAAGTACATGTACAATCTGTAGTATGCAGTACTTCAACATCAACATAAGTGGGCACAGCACTCATATTTTTAAGTATTCAGGTACTGCATACATAATTCTTGTAGTATTTTGTAGTATGTGGTACTTTGCCACAAAGTAAGCCTTAGTGGGTTAGGATTAATACATGTATATTTTTCAATAATGACGTGACCTGTTTGAACTCATTCAGATGTCAATACATGTACATGTATATGAGTACTCCATGCTGTATGCATGTGAACTAGGATAAACAGATCACTTTGTTATACATGTAGCACGGCAATAGACTGTGAATATTTATTTGTCCATCATCGATCATGTGTCATGCCACAAACATGCATGTACAGTAATGTATGCCGCGCGCATGGTACATGAGTGATGTACCCAACGGGGGACATTACCTTTTTCTCTCCCGCTATTGAAAATGTCATTTCCACCACGTTGTACATATTTGTGTGACCTCGGGTACGAGGTTGTACAATGTAGCTACATGTACGCTGGTACTACGTAAATCGATGTATGTTTTTACGAGATGTGCCATGGGGGACAGTGAAGCAATATTTCCGCTATAAATATGACCGCCATCGTTGTTTACATCGTTCGTCCCCATTTGTCTGCTTTTCTTAGCTGTGCCAATTTGGTAGTAATTTCACCATAATAATGTCAGCATAAAGCAACAGTTTGCCTCCAATTAAAGAAGGGGTTTCTCTCGTTCCAAAGACGAGATCAGAAATTTGATTTTTGAATAGGACAGCATCAGCACGGAGAAAATTTAAATGTACGAAAAGTTCGCCAATTCTGTACCGCAACAGGAAGAGGCCCACAGTTTCAGACGTGGCAACAAAAACATGTTGCCTGCTGTAACGGGGTCCGTGGGTTTTGTACACCCTCGGTGGCAAATGTTGCCCCCTCGGGTGTACAAAACACCATTGACCCTGCCACACCAGGCAACAATTTAGAGTTCTTACGGCAGGATCCTACAAGTAGTGTACAGTCACTCAGTGCCATTTACTGTACCTTCACTGAGTTGATGCAGAGTTTAGTTACTGCCCTTGACCAAATTACCCGGATTAGAAAACAAACTAAATTCCCAAATAAGGACATTCGCCGACATCGCATTTGTTGTAGTTTCTTTACAATATGCCCAGAACTCACATATTTCCATAAAGTCTGGCCTTTCTTAGGGGCAACTTGCAGTATCTAAAGCAAGATGCAGTCAGCAAGGTTGACCCAGGATCCTATGATAGTATGACCCAGTCCTGTTGTAAGACAAGCACCTGACTTTCATGGTTAATCTACATGTAGTCTAAGAATTTGAGACCCTCAATACTAAGGTTGGCCCACTGAGAAACTTTGCAAAACTCCACATAGCGGAAAACATGCACAACAAACAGACAGGCACATGAAAACTGGTTAAACTGGACCGTAACAAGAAATTCAGCACGAGAGCTCCAGTAGGAAGGATATAACAGGAGCGTATTAAACATGGATAGCATGAGGTATGCATGACTTATTTTATTCTGAATGTGCACAAATTGTAGCGTCTCCACATTTGCATCAGATGCCATCAGAAAATGCATTTTAGTCTCTCCCAACTTTCCTGCTTAGAACTGTTGAGGGGGTACTAGTGCAGTAGGCCTACAAGTTTTATGTATTTTTATGCTTCAGCTATTTCAAATTAGAATTAGCTTGGAAATTACCAAGGACTAAATCATACACATTGTTGTCAATTTCAGAAAATATTTGAGAATGATGATGGCTGAAGATGAGTAATGTTTACCTGATTAGGTTTTGTAAGTTTTCAGCTCAGGATACCCCCTCCTTTCCAGAAGGCCTTTCACTTTGTATTTTTTTTAGGCAATGACTGATCATCAACAAAGTGTAAGGATACTTTACTACATTTTTTGGTGCAGTACTACTAGTTTCAATTTCACTTTCTGAAAGTCTTTGTGGTTAAAGTCTGAAATTCTAGTGATTTGGAGCACGCATGTCAACATGATAAATGATAACAGGTGTTCTTTAAAAAAAAAAAGGACTCTCAGTACTATTCAACAAATTCCTTTTTTTTAAATTTAAAACATGCAAGGCTGTATAAATAACATTACATTTTAATCGTAATAACATCTACCATGTCTAGTACAGCTCTCTGACTAGTTTTGTACATTAACCCTAACCCCTTGGGTATATTTACTAGAAAGTACCCTGAATCCGCCAAAATCCATCAATTTTGCCATGCAAAAAAATGTTGGTGGCCAGTGAGTCCATCAGAATCCACCAGTTAGCCGGGAATAAATCTGTTGGGATCCTGAATCTATCAAAGTCCCCCAGCTGCTCAATATGGAGGTATCCTGAATCCATCAAAATCCTGCAGTACCGCTAGGCTTCATGTCCTGAATCCATCAAAATCCCTCAACTTCTTCAATATGGTGGTAACCTGAATCCGCCGAAATCCCCCGAAACAGGGGTGTGGATTTTGATGGACTCAGGTACGTTAGGGTTAAAAAACCCACCTTGCAAGTTCACTGGTTTCAGGTCCTCTACAGTTATTGTATCCGATTGGGGCTGGAACCAATTTACTCTGCAGTACTGAACTAACGTTTGGGCGATAATAATTTTAAAATATATCCAAATTGATTTTTTTTTCTCCGTATATAGCCTAGGCCTAATTACATTACAAATGCAAAATTGTTGGTTTAATTTTTCATTCAATTTCAAAGTGAATCGCATTTTGTATTGCCAGAAAAGGATGAAAGAATGTAGTATCCACACGCCACTTCTTTGGTTGTGTACAAATTATAGTCTATAGACAGTCAATATCATCGAATCAAGCGCAGTTTCGAAATATTTTCTAACAAAACTTCTCAGTTCCAGATTCATGTCTTTTGAACATTTTTGCAATGGATGACCTTCACTGAGATAATGTATGATGGATGCAACATTCTTTCCGAAACAAAATCTATTTTTTTTTAGGTGAAAGTCGTCTTCAAATTTAAAAGAGCACAGCCAAAGTGACACTCACACTGTAGCCTGTGTCTGCATCAAATTCAAGTCATTTTTGGTACAAAATAATCATTAGGCCTACAGGTCATTGAAAGGAAGCACCATGGAGGTATGGAAGCACTACCGTCGTGTTGGAAAATGTAGTGATGTTACTGAAACACTGATCTACAGTACAGATCTAGTTACAACGTTACTTACACAGCCATGGAAGGCAACGGCCATGCACCGGGTACGGGTACAGAGTACATATTGAAATGGGCAGGGCATGCCTCACAATTATTGCACATTCAAATACAGGGAGCTCCTACAGCGTGTAAACGAATGGCGAACACAAGTACGCCGAAGAAATATGATGTTTTGAGCCTTTAACAAAGCAACCATTTTAACGTTTCCCCACTTACCTTATTCTATGGAGATTGTACTATAGTCCAAGTTTATTCCAATAAATTGTTGAGTTTGTGTGGCCTTAAATTAATTATTGTATTCCAGATAATCCAAGAAATTGAACCCCCATTGAAAAATCCACAGTCCGAGCAGCGACCGCATCGCGCGCAACAGTCAGACAGACAGTAGTCCTCCGCCCTATGCGATACAATCCCCAAATATTTCGTATTTTCAATTTAATCGCCCTAAAGTGGGGAAGTTTTTATAGATTCTCGCTCATTTTGAAGTTAAATTTGTAATTTTACGATTCGGAATGCTTCATTTTTACGAAATGATCCAGGAAATAGATTTTAGAAACTTTTGCGGATTAATTTCTGCCGTGATGCGTCCATAACGTAAAGCGTACCTGGTGGGTATTATGGGATGTCGGCTGATTCTTGAGGGTCGCGCGGTCAAAAGTGGTGTCGAGATGTTTATAAACACTAGGCGAGGCCGCGTAGTTCAAAGGATCCTCCCAAACTGTGAATTACCTGAAAGCTAACGGATATATATTTTTTTGACTATTTAGGTTATCCACTTCTGCCCGATACAACTTATTTAACTTTCTAGAAGTTTAGTTAAGGACGCTCAATTAATTTTTTTCCCACCCGGGGTGCTTGCGGGCCGCAGGCGCACCTGTCACAGCTATATAGAATGTCAAAATGGCACGCGTCTGTCGATAGTAAGTTACTCGATGTATGGATTTGACATTTGAAATATTACCTACAAATCACCGACTAGCGATAGACATCAAACAACTGCCGTAATTCACAGAGCCGAGACATTCAAGTTCAGGCTGGCGCAGGCCCACGTCGACTAGATGAGTACGAGTATCATCCCAGGTAAAACGAAAAAGAAAAAGAAATTGGCGACACTCAATGGTTTTACACTTTAAAGTTAACATGGTACGTGTAGATCGCTGCTGCTGCGTGCAATCAGTGTATTGACAGTTCAGGTATTAAATATGAGCCTCTCATAACTGGAAACTATATACAATTTGTAAAGTTGATTAACTTTACAAATTGTATTCGAGGGCCAGAAAAAGGTATAGGCCTAGGGGACAAAATAACATAAACCCCCCCCCCCCCCCCCAGTTTAAACAGTGGGCGGGTACACTCCCCTTTCCCATTGACTGACGGCCATGACGTAAAAAGAAGCTCTTCTGTTTTTTTCCTACAAATTCTGGGGATATATGTACACTGGGGCCGCCTTGGGGGTACCTCCTCCTGCAACCCCCCCCCCCCCTTCCGGGTTATTACACCACTGAATCCCGCTTGGCACATATTTTGGCACCCACAAAATGAAAGTTCAATCTAGGGAAGAAGATTATTGATTATATATTCTTTAAAAAGTTCCATTTTGGTCTTCTCAATTGACGTAGACTAAATATGACTACAAAAATACTTGAGCCACATTCAACTTGGCTGATTGTCAGCAACTTTGTCGAAGTTACGGGCTGCATCCATGCAATTATAAGGTTTCGGAATCGGAACATTATAAACTCAAGCCTTTGCCCCCTTACACGGTGCGCCCTCATTGGTCATATCACACTCAAAAACCTGCCCTCAGATGTGACGTCAGACGCAAGGGGTCTATACGCATACTTGGTTTGATTGGAAGCTGATGTTTGGTCAATGTTTCGGTGGCCGACAGGTCTCCACAATCCGGTTAGGCTTTGCGCGACATCGCAGCGGCTTACCCAAAATCAAAGCTAGTGCCAAGTTATGCATGAATTATTGTTGGTAAACGGACAGGCCAGTTGATTAAAGTTTATGGGCCGACGGGAAAATAAATCGGTCGATCATAATAAATCGTTCACTCGTGAACTGAAACGATCAAAGAACTATAATAAATGCCGGTACAGGGCCGTACATGTAAGATGTCAACAGTCTTGTATAGTTTGGGTCGCTATGATGAAGTAAGATAATCAGTTTGCATAACTTGCATTCCACTTGTTACAGACAATGTCATATCATTTAGCAGCGTCGGGGGGGGGGGCAGATGATTATAACGGTCTCTAAATTGATGTAGCAACTCTTGTGGTTCTTGCACTTCCTCCCGGATACACAAATTATGAAGTTGTTTTCCCCATGTATCAGTCTGATCCCAATATTAATGCTGTTCATAATTCATAGGATCATTCCGCTCAGGTGTAGGCCTAAGCATGTACATGTACATGTACATGTAGTACATGTACATGTACACAGTGACTTTTGTCCAATGGGGAGACGTGCATTGGCTTGATAAGCTTCACACAACATGTACGTCCGTGTGACCCCAGATGAGGTCAATTTCTCACCTCTGAGGGGTAAAATTATACCCCAGGGGTATGCGTGGGTTGTGAAACTAGGAACCACACCAAAGGTTCACAACAATGGAATGTTCAGGTCGGGGGATTTTCTGAGGTATTTTTGAGCGGCAGAAAAACTTCTACTCAACCCTGTTTTAAAGTTGGTTTTCTTCAAAAAAATATTAACCTGATAATGTTACATCTCTGTTAAAATTTAGCTATATTAACTTGTATTTTGTTTAATGTAAAAACAGGGGTTTTTTTCCAGATTTGTTGTTTGCCAAAATTGGCCCCAAAACAACAGTTTTCTCGCATCAAAAGTTTGAAATTCAAAACAAATTGAGTTTAAAATTTAACAAATGCAATGGCATAATTATTTATTCACTTCTAAATCATTTGAAATCAATCATAGAAGATATTGCAAAGTTCTATTTATGAATATTAAAAGTCTGCTTCAGTAACCCTTAGCGACATACTTATTTTTATTATGAATTTGAAGAGACATGGGGGAATTTGCATAAAATGAAGAGCTAAAATACCACACTATTGAAAATTCTAATTTATTTGTTTTATTGAACAATTGGCCTTGATAGGAGTTGATAGTCTTTATTTTCCGATCCATATCAATTACACTTCCATCTTGTGATACATGTTGACACATCCACTTGTTAAAATGTCCATTTGAGGAAATATGTTTTGCAAAGATCACAGGAACATATTCTAGCCTAAGCATAATACGCAATTACAATTTACAAAAATTTGTACAGAAAAAAAAAATACTGCATTATTTTTTGAATAATTTACAAGATTTTGTGTACATATCAAGCCTCGAAATTAAACTTTTGTATCCCTTTTTACACAAATTTACATTTTCTTTTCACCTCGCATGATGAAACACAAATATAAAATTCTATACTTCAGATAGTCACAACACGGTGATTACAGACTCAGTCCGCAATCTGTTAGGCGCAGTATACAGGGTGAGTAAAAAAACACGAAACCCAAATGTGGGGACCATTGTTTTAGTGAAGTTCTACATGTAGCACTTTCAAAATCTAGGATATGAAAGCCCAATTCATAAGCTTCTTTTAGTACAAGAATCATTCAAATCATCTATGTACTTTTCAAGTTACGGAATGTTAAACACAACCACCGTTTTACAGTTCTGTCCACGGATCACAAGAAGGTAGGTGTTCTTTCAGCAGAACGAAAACAAATCACATAGGGATGTGTGTGAATTGTTTTCGTTTTGCTGAAAGAACGCACTCCTTTTCTGTGATCGGTGGACAGAACTTTAAAACGGTGGTTGTGTTTAAAATTCCGTAACTTGAAAAGTACATGAGTGATTTGAATGATTCTTGTACTCAAAGAAGGCTTAGGAATTGGGCTTTCATGTCCTAGATTTTGAAAGTGCTACATGCAGAACTTCATTAAAACAATGGTCCCGAAATTTGGGTTTCGCTTTTTTTTGACTCGCCCTGTACACCCATTAACCAGACAGAAAATTTGATCAAGAATGACGGCTAACCAAAAAGCAATCAGTTCAACTATCCCACACTGATAATGATGATAGATGCTAACACAGTTTTTCATCATCCCTGCATAGCGTAAAGGGGGGGGGGGGCAATTGTTGGAAGAACCTTCCTTATCCGATTCCATAAAGTCCCATAGCCTTCCTCCCTTCCATCAACCAGCCCCCCCCCCCCACCACTAAACAAAAATGATGTCCAAATTCGTACACTGCCATCAAACAATGTGGTCTGCCATGAAGCTGACCACAAATTACAAGGTGCAAGGTACATTTCCAATTCCAAGTAGTTCTTGACTTAAAGGTAATTTAACAACATTTGCAAACACCAAAAATCTACCAAATTATCATGAAAATACCTTACTTGACTGTTGATATTAGTTAATACTTAACTGCAAATAATAGTTTCAAGCATCCTCTGAAATCAGTGCACCGGGTGTGCTGTCATTTTCAAGAAAAGTGGAATTTTTGCTTGATTTTCCAAAAATGGTCGGCTGACCATCGTTGGGGAAAAAAACATCTTATGAATCTGAAAAAGTGTAAGCTTTTTATTGGACCACCCTCTAGACAATGACACCAGTGGCGTTAATAATATTAAACACGCAACCATCAGTCAAACCAAACATAAAAGATCTTTAACATGTTAATTTGCCAACAAATAAACAGTTTCTGTCAAAACCTTTAAACCCACCCATATTTCCATAGATGCAGTGTGGAAGGGAACACTTTTACCGAAAGGTGGCACGACCTTTCTTCTAGGATTAGTTATATTTATGAAGTGATTAAAATGACTTTTAAGAAGTATTTTAGAATTCTTTCTTCTTACAAAGTTCTTTCATTTAACTTGTTACATCTCTGGTGATAACAAACTGGTAAATATTTAGTTGTGTCTCATAAAGAGGACCTTCAACAAATGTTTGTGAAACATTTCAAAGGGAAGGGGGGATAACATAGTTTTAAATTGGAATTTTAGACTTACTATTTTTGTCAGACCTCTTTTTGTTTCTTTTTTTTTACAGCATCATCACAATTTGATAAAAAGAAAAGTTGCATTCACAGATGCAATGAGCAAAGAATTCTAGTTTTAAAAAAAGTCGAAATGCTTAAGATGCTTCCTCTTTTAATTTTTCACTTGGAAGACTTTCCGGGCTAACATATGAAATCTTAAAGTTTCTGCTCCCCCAGTTCTTAACAGGAAAGTGGGACACAAAATCCATACAACAAATCATAATTTTCACAAATTTCAGAATAATAAAGAATCTATAATAATCCAACATAAAAAGGTATTTGTGGGTAATGTAAAATGCCACTATAGTTCCCAGTCATTACGTGGGTTCTGCAGGACAGACTGAGCGGTCTTTGGCGCAGTAGTAATGTACGACAACACCGTTGGGGTAGCGAGCGAAAGCACTGTTGCCGATTCGCTTCTTGCAGACAGGGCAGTTGCGCTCTTCGGTAATCTCGCACTTCTGGCTTTGGTAGTGGATGTGCTGCTCACGGACCTGCAGATAGACACAGGGGAGACAATTGAAGAAGTGGTTGGTAAACAAGTAGTTAGAGTTTGCACATTGCAGGGTTGTAGTCGCGTACACTACAGGTCAAATCGCAAGAAACATTAACCCTAACCATCCCAAATCCTCCAAAATCCTCTTTGCAAAATGGAGGATTTTGCAGGATTGAGGCTGCATGGCAAAAGTGTGTTGCTGATTTTGGAGGATGCACTGGGTCCAGGTCTTGGGCCAGACCTGTTGTTGTTTATGCTCAGCCGTCCATAAATATAGGCCTGGATTATGCTTGAAATCCTCCACCCTGCTTCAGGATGTCACTGGCTCAGCCTCAACATATTGACAGTGATTGCTGGAAAATTTTGCAGGATTGAGGCAGTGGTCACCCCTCCACAGACCACATTCAAGAAATAATGAAGGATTTTGAGGCTGTATGCTATTTTTACATGGAGGCAGTTGGAGGATTTTGCAGGATTGAGGATGCATCCTAGAAAAAATGCCTAGGGAGTTAAGGTTAAAAGCAACCGGGTGAACAATGACAAAGGAATGCTTATGGCACAGTTCACTTGTATAGCTTGACACTTGACTTCAGATTGGAAGACATTGCTTGACTTGTATTACGAATTGAAAGGATACGAAAATGAGGTTTCAAAATGACAAGTAACTGTTCTTGAAGAACGGATGGATAGTGTTTTCTCCAGACACTGGCCAGAAACCACTCGCACCCAGACCTGCATTTGAGTCCTCAAACCTCGAGTCAGAGTCCTCAGTGTCAAATCTGAGTCGGGGCCCGAGTTATTTGGGTCACGTCCGAGTCTCAGTCACAAGTTACGAATGTCGAGTCCTACTCTGAGTCATGAGTCACAAAACACAAAAACTCATAAGTGGATGGATTAAATAAAGGAAAAAATATTACGATTAATGGTTGTGCAACGGAAGAAAACGCACGGCAAAAGACAAATGTATTGTTGCAATTAAATGAATATTATTTTGCAACAAACAAATCTTCAATTTTCAGTTTAAAAAGAGCATATTTGTCATTTTGCTTTCGAGTCTGATTCAGTAACATTGCGTCCGAGTCCGAAGTGTCAAGTTCAAGTCCGAGTCCAATGCACTTTAGATTTTATCTGCCCTTTTTGCAAATGGGGAGAAAAATTAAAGCAAGGAATGGAGAAAGGGTTAAAATTTCAGGTTTATCAATATTCTGCATTAAATTTCCCAATTGCCAAATTGTATTCTGTCAAGAGTTGTAGTCAATCTTCACACATCATTACACTCAAAAGACATCCAATCATCAAGTCAACAAGCTATTCAAATGAACCGGGACAGGTACATTCCTATGTCCTTGTTCATTCCCTGATACATGTGATTTAGTTTATGGCCAACTAATGATTGAATCAGCGACAACTGTGATTTCGGCCTGACATTGGCCAAAATGTCATCTATCCCTTTTCAAAAGTCACACCACTGAAATAAAACTGCACGTATGCAGAAATTGTCAAATTCCTACTATTCGGGGCTCATCAAAACTTCTTTCAGAAAATAAGGTGAGTCTTTCATTTTCAAGACTAATTTACAATGTGTAAAATGTTCCCCATTAAGACAACGTAAATCCTGCAGGGTGAAACATAATGTGACTACTCCCAAGCACAGCATGGATGTGTTCATCTGAATTGATGAAACATTCATTAATTAGGACTGGCTGAACGGGTAAAAGGCTGTAAGTTGTTGCCAGGATACAAGCAAGTATACCATGAATTTGACTTAATTGATTCTGACAGAGCATTAGCAAACATGATCGCGAGATAACCTCATGAAAGAAATAGGTTTCAACCTCATACCTTTAAAAACATTTAAAATTACCACCCCCCCTCCAAAAAAATTTTTTTTAGTTGTAACTTTGTTCTGTAGCTTTCTTTGACAAATTTGTCAAAGATGATAAAATGTTAATGTCCCACAAGAGTAAAATACATTTTGTGCTAACCCTCCTGCTGTCTGAACTGTCACAGTACAGTAAAAAAAAATCAATCCTCTTCCCTGCCATGCTTTAGACACAGGCTAGTCACCAACAGTCAGATCATATTTCAAGCAAGCACTGTGACTAGTCAAATTCGGTCAACAGACAAAAACAGGCAGGTGGTAGGCACAGCTGGCTTATCAATCACCTACAGTCAAATCATAGCTGTATCAAGATACATAAACAGTCACAGCCAGCCAATCCCACATCATGTAGGCTGGGAGCTCTTAACTGTTGAAAACAGTCACTTGACTAATTTGGACTGAAATGACAACTTTGCACAGAATGTATGTTTGCATAGGAGGGTTAATCTGAACACTTTGAGCAGGAAAAGGCTGTAAGTTGTGCCTTGATACAAGCAAGAATACCCTGAATTTGACTTAATTTACTCTGTCACAGCATTGATCGCGAGACACCTTCATGAAAGAAACAGGTTTCAACCTCATACTTTTCAAAACATTTAAAATTAACACCACCAGCGCGCCAAAAAACCCTAATTATTTTAATGGTGAATTGTTCTATAACTTGAGTTCTTGGTCAAATTTGTCCAAAATGATAAAATGAGAGTTATACAAAATTTTGTGTTAATGTAACAAAACCAGACAAACTTGACAAAATGTGGCAAAATATCCAATAAGTCTGCGATACAAAATGAAAAAGTCTGAATGCTGCAGCTTTCCAAATAAGACTGTCACATGTACAAGAAATAATCAAATTAGGTGAGAAGTATTCAAGTAAATGTACCTTTATCTTTGTTGTGTCATGCTCATCTGAGACTAATTAAAGCAGGTGGGAATAAATTACCAGGTAAATTACACATGGGACAGTGCCTAGTATCTTATATGAACAGTGGGAAGGGAACATTGTCGGTCTAATCTACAAAACTTTTGTTCTCCTCTAAAAGAGTGATTATACATGTAGTAGCTTGTGTACAAAGCTTACAGGTTTACACAAAATCACGTCAAAATTTGGAACGACTCTGTAGGAAGCCACGGGTTGTATTGTCAGCTTTCACGACATGACACTCTTGAAATATCTTGCAGATTTGCAGGACATGTAGGTCGCTGCCTGTCACATTGAATTATCTGTGAAAAGCAGGCTTGGGTCATGCCAGTATCCATGTCACTGTATACGAGTTACGACTGTTTTAGCTGCTGAGAATTTGATAATATTCAATTCTTGGGCCATGTGAAAATAGCGATAGGTTTGCCAATCAAGAAGTCGGTAAAAATGCATGTGCACGATTCTCTCTTGCTTGTGATACAAATGCCAATCCCCATGCACCTTGTGGGTAGAATCTGGTTATTTGGCAACATCAACAATAGTTCATTGATGCATGGAGGAATGATTGATGTAAGTTATGATTTGAATCAGTGATTTTAATTGAGTGATTTAAATCAAACAAGTCTGTTGGAATGCTCTCAAAATGACCCTAGTGTGTGGAAACTGACACTGACATTACTGATGGCAGACAAAAAACAATTTACTGTTTCCCCTTAGGGGAGGGTTCCAGGATTTTTACAGGGGGGGGGGGGGGGGGTCAGGCCCGTCATATTTTTTTTAATGTCCGATTGTTGCAGAGAGGCGGACATTTAGGTAATTATTATTACTATAATTGTTATAAATATATGTTATTCATAAGATGGAATTTTCAAACCATTCGAACCAGCCAACCGATCCCGCAAGCTCGGTGGTCGAGTGGTTAGACGTCTGCACTAGAAAGCAGGAGGTCGTGGGTTCGAGTCCCACCCAAGTGATTTTTTCCAACTTTCACTCGGGAGGTAACACACTGAGTATACAGTGTTTATACGTCGGTGAAGGGCAACACCTAATATTGATTTATATATATATATCTTTTTGGTGTCGGGAGTGAGGGGAAAGGGGGGGGGGGGCGACAACTCCACAGTGGTTCAACAGCCCTTATCCCCTCCCCTCCCCAGGCTTTTTTCCACCTTGTGCACCCCTCCCCCAGTCAGAACTTGGGGAAGGCCAAAATGAGCATTTTATTGTCAAAAACACAATAATCAACCTGTCCAGAAAATTAGGCCCTCTCAGTGCCTCCCCCCCCCCCCCTTCAAAGTGGATCCCGGTTAGGCTTTTGGAAGTATCAGATCCGCTCTGCCCTGCAAGGGATGTTTTTTTTTTATCAGTTCGCCGATGTGTGAGGCTGCAGCTGACCCAAACAAGACGTTCAGAAGAGAGAGAACTACCGGTCCGCTTGGCTGTGCCGATCAGCGGTCAACTGGAACAGATTTGCCAAGGGAAACCAGCTGCTAGGGATGCCGCCTGTGTTTGCATGCTCCAAAGAAAAGATTGCAGAGGGGAAAAAAAATGTCGGGGTTGCGCAAAGGGAAAATGCTGGCACGCAAAAAAAATAAGATTGGCATTGCATTGAAAATTGGTTTAGAACTAGCATTGACCTGTTTACACTGACCGGACTGTAGATATGGATTTGTAGACTCGAATGGAAGGACAGTCGAAGGTATTCAGGGATTTTTTTTTTGCGTGTAAGACCAAAGCAGTGCTACTGCACTTTTGACCTGAGAGAGACGATGGTATTTTGCATTTTGAAGTAAACTTTCTCAACCCTTACCCTTCATGACCTTCACGATCTATGAGAAGTTTTTGGAGGCTTTTGCAGGATTGAATTAGGTTGAAACAAGCCACTTATATTTTATTTGCAACTTGATATCCTTCGAAAGATGTAAGTACAAAGTATGTGCCCTCGGTTCCCTGCACAGCAGTTTGTGGAATATTCAGCGGTGTCACACCAATCTCTTTAAAGTGAAAACCACAGCAGAAATGGTTTTTCCCCAAGGTTAAAGGTAATATACAACATTTGCAAATATCAAAAAACAAAACTACCAAATTATTATGAAATACCTTACTTGACTGTTAGTGAATAATAGTTTCAAGCATCCTGTGAAATCATGGCACCTGGTGTGCTGTAATTTTCAAGAAAAGTGTAATTTTTAGATCA